TGGCGAGGGTGTTACGGTACCATAGCATGGTAGTGCTTCTTTTGCTTGCAAAATCCCAGAGAGTAACCCTGTGACTGTTGTTTTTAACATGTAGCCTTCTAAATTTCCTGACACACAAAGATGAGGATTATATAAAGTTGAACTTGGATTTCTGTTTAAGTTCACTCCTCAAGTTGTAAACAGGTAATCTGTAAGCACACGGCTTTTCCTGCAAATTCACATGAATGTTTTCTTTTTGTTGCTGTTTTTATTCTACTTTGTGCTGTTTTTTCAGGATGAATGTTGTTCAGCAAGTAGGAAACTGAGTTATTGCTGCAATGAAGTAAATTATACTTCTGGACTTCCCACTCTACTTCACAATTATAAGGGATTCATTTTGTATTCTGCAAAATCTATTAAAATTGCTGTACTACTCTGACAGGAAAAACATGCATATACATACATGTATACATGTATGTGTATATGTAATATACCTTCAGAATGCACACTGTAGCTTTTACAGGATTTTGCAAATTCTAGACTTCAGTTGAAAATAGAATAAAGGTCAAATTCTGCCTTACACATGTATGAAATGAACAGTTGTACTATGGTGATGTGCTGCCAAGATTTGAACAATGGGGTCTTTCACAAATGTTCCTTCTCCTCCAGTGATAAACTCTGTGTGGTGTCATGTGTGTGCACACAGAGGAGATGAGAGGACCTGAGCAATATATGCCTTTTTTTTTTTTTTGCTTTTTAAACCAAAGTGGATTTTTTTTGAACCCAGAAACCAGAGAGCCTGTAGTAGCTCACTGATGTGTAGTTTCTGTTCATCTGGGCACAATATGTGACTTGTAACTTTAATTGGTACTAGCGTGGCTAATATAAAGAGGCACAGTCAGAGAGTTAACTTAAGGATTTGAGGGTACCACAGCAACATATGTTATATATTCCCATGTGTAGAGCCTGTTGAAGATATCATTTGGTGTGACTAGAAGAAGAAAAGGACATTCACAGTATTTTTATGACCCCTGTCTCATTATACTTCTGTATGCAGGTAGATTAAAAAAAAAAATAAAATTGGCAACAAAGTTATTTAATACATGTGATGTGAACACAAGAGATTTTCGGACCTGTAGCAGATTCAACCCGTCTTATTGTAGTCATAAAGACTATGCTGCAATAGGTTCTACGTAAAGCTTTCTCCTGTTGAAGAAGAATCTCTGTGAATAAAAGCAACAGACAGTATAATAATTTTGTCAAAGGTTGTCACAATGGCAGCATTCATTGCAACGTGTCCCAGGATAAACTTTTTGGTGGAGAAGAATGACATTGTTTAATCTTATTTCGCATTGGTAGGTAAATTCCATGTGTGACTAGGTTACTGTTTCTTTGACTCCCTTTTTCTCTTCCATCCAACTTACTGAATCTGTTTCCAGTGTGGTTTCCTTTCCATATCACCCAGTAATCCTGGTGGCCTAGCTGGGAATCAAAAACATCTTTATTTCTGAACATAGCTGTGAGGGCTCTGACCAGAATTTCAAGGGTCCAAGATGCTGGAGTAGCCTGCCAGCTTAATGCGTGGAAATGGCTCTCCCTTCACTTCCACTGCAAGGTTTGGAAGTTCGTGGCAGATTTTTTCAAGTACCTAATTTTAAAATATCAAAATCTTATACTTGCCATACTCGATCTTTAGTCCCATTTAGAAGTCCAAATCAGTTTCTTGCACTTGGTGTCCAGTTTCTGATAGTGACCATTACTATGTGCTGAGAAAGATGCTGCAATGTAACTTAAAATTGCAATTGTGGAACTTTTCTGCTCACATTTCATCCTACCATTGACCAGGAACATGGAGACTCTGTGTTTTCTGAAAGATTCTTAAATTTACACGTTGTCTGTAAATTGTATTTAAAAAAAAAAATCTTGAATCCTGAACATCATACAGTAGTTTAAAAATACTTCTGAAATTGTCGACAGCACTTCCACCTCTGAAGTGTAACAGTGTACACTGTTACTTTTATCTTTACTGTACAGCATGTCTGCTTGCAAAGAAAACACTCTGAAGTTTTCAGGTGTATAAAATACACTGCTTGAGTAGTGCTTTGAAGCCTAAGCAGTTGCTGCATTCTGCTGGTTTCAGTGGTGGAACTAAAGCTGAATTAATGCAGTATTAAGTATTTTTTTTGAATAAGGAAATGAATGGATTAGGTCTCTCTTTTACTCACTTCATGTTTCCTCTGTAAAATTTTTAGAGATCTGAGTTTGCTGTAGTTATTTGATTCAATTTTCCTAGTAAACATTTGTAGAAAAAAATTTATTGTAGGGTATGGAGGTTGTGGGAATGTGGAGGTTGGTTTATTTTCCCTCCTCATGATGTGAATTTTGTAAATAACAGTTACTGTGGCATTTATCTAACTACTTGCTGCTAAAGATCAGTGTTTCAATGTCTGATGGAGCATTTTAGGCATATCAAGTCCAGTAGGGAACATGGCTGGAATAAATTTAAACAGTGAACATGGTCTGAAAACAGTTATGCAAAAAGGACTTCAGCAAAATCTAATTATTTAAAATTGCAGTTTCATAAAACCCAAAAATGTGTTTACAAAAATGTAACCTAAAAGTACCGCAGAAGTGATAAACTCTGTAATCAATTTGTCGTCTTGAAGCATTTTTTACTATAGGCAGTTTTACCTTTTGTGGTAGCTTCTGTAATTATTTTTCTCTGCAATGTAGCTCTCAGCAATCCCTTTTTACTTGTGAGAATGTTCTTTTTCTTCATTCTCTTATTTCAGAGTGTAAGATGAAAATATGCAAGTTACTTTGGTATAATGAGGCAGATTTAGTAATTTCTTTTCGCTTATTTTATCCATGAGATATAATTTACTGTAATTGGCAACGTAACGTTGGTAACATTGAAAACTCAGGCTTTAACAACTCAATTATGCTTTTTCAGCTGCTGCAGTCTAGGATTCAGCATGCCTGATTGAGGGTGGGACCAGAAAGGATGGAGTCTACATACTGCCATGGGGAGTGACTGGTCCACAATAACCGTGTGGACATAGAGAGAGTATTACAGAGAATTAGATAATTTTCATGTGCTACTAGAGGATGTGCAGCAGCTGATCAAGTGGTGGTGTGGTGCTGCAGCTCAGGTTTCAGTGGTACAAGGCACACGAGTAGACAGCAGAGAACATCCTTTCCACCCCCTTGCCTTTTGTGCTTACAATAAGACAGTATGGGAAGCAGGGCAGAAGCATCATAAAAGGATGCATGATGCATTAAGGAAGGAAAGAAATGGATTGGAATGGAATGGAACAAATAGAATAGAACAGAATAGAACAGAACATTTCAGTCGGAAGGGACCTACAATGATCACCTAGTCCAACTGCCTGACCACTTTGGGTCTGGTCAGGATTTAAAGCCTGCTCTTAAGAGCATTGTCCAGATGACTTAAATGCTGCAAGACCTGGGGCATCAACCACCTCCCTAGGAAGTCTTTGACCACCCCTCCTTAAAAAAGTGCTTCCAAATGTCCAGTCTAAACCTCCCCTGGTGCAGCTTTGAACCATTCCCATGTGCTGGATACCAGAGAAAAGAGATCCATACCTCCCTCTTCACTTCCTCTCCATAGGAAGCTGCAGAGAGCAATGAGGTCATCCCTCAGCCTCCTTCTCTCCAAATTAGACAAGCCCAAATTCTTTAGATGCTCCTCATAGGACATGCCTGCCAGCCCTTTCATCAGCTTTGTTGCCCTCCTCTGGAAACATTCAAAGACCTTCACAAGCTTCTTAAATTGTGGGGCCCAGAACTGCACACAGTGTTTCAGGTGAGGCTGCACCAATGCTGAACACAGCAGGATAATCACCTCTTTTGAGCAGCTGCTGACGCTGTGTTTGATGGACTCCAGGATGGGGTTTGGCCTCTTGGCTTCAGGACACACTGCCAGCTCCTACTGAGCCTGCTGCCAACCAGCACCCCCAGATCCCTTTCTGCAGGGATACTCTCCAGCCACCTTTCTCCCAGTTTATACTTGTGTCTGGCATTAATCTGTCCCAGGTGCAGAATCTGGTGTTTCAACTTGTTAAACTTCATACCATTAATCACTGCCCAATGCTCCAATCTATCTAGATCCCTCTGCAAGACCTCTTGTCCTTCAAGAGAGTCAGCAGCCCAGTTTGGTATCATCAGCAAACTTGGTAATGGTGCATTCAACTCCTACCTGCAGGTTGTAGATAAATGTACTGAGCAGAACTGGCCCTAAAATTGAGCCCTGAGGAACAGCACTGATGACTGGCCACCAGCCAGATGTCGCTCCATTCACTACAACCCTTTGAGCTCTGCCCTTCAGCCAGTTCTTCGCCCAGCACACCGTGAACCCCCTCATCCCACATCTGGACAAGTTGTCCTGAAGGATGCTGTGAGGGACAGTATCTAAAGCATTACTAAAAACCACATCCATCACCTTTCCTTCATCCACTGGGTGGGTGACCTTGTCATAAAAGGCTATCAAATTAGTTAAATAGGACCTTCCTTTAGTAAACCCCTGTTCTGTCTAATCTCTGTTTGATTTCTTAATTTCAGTCATTTTTTTAAACACTGTATTAGACTGATGGTAACTAATTTGGAATGTTGTACTTTGCTCTTTGATGTTTCATAAAATTTTTATCCCTTGCTAACATTAGTTAGGTTTTTTCTATTTATGTGTTTAATTTTTATTCTCTTTAAAGGAAATGTTACTAGATATGAAAAATTTTATCCAAGTCAAGTATGCTTTCCATCAGAATACCAAAGTAGCGTATACTTCTGTGATTTGACTGAAAGCATACAGAAAGCAGTAATTTCCTTATCAATATGTAACTTACGCAGAAGTTGCTGCCTTGGTTGCTGAAAAGAGACCTGAAAGTTTTAGGGTGCAAAACTTGCTGCTTTGAGAAGCATCATTTACTTTTGGATTTTATGTATAGATAAGTAATGAAACATCAATTTTATCGATGTATGACTCTGACCCTTTATTTCCTCAGCCATCATGTATGTAATGGGAGCACTCGGACCTGCAGCTGGATACTTGCTAGGAGGACTTCTTATTGGCTTCTATGTTGATCCTAGGACAACTGTTTATATTGATCAGAGTGATCCCCGATTCATTGGAAACTGGTAAGGACCAAGCATTTTTCAAAACTACTCTCTAAATTGCTGGTAGGGAATTTAGACAGGTTGGAAAATTGTATCCCTGGAGGATTTGTTTTAGGTTGTAGAAGGAGGCCAAGGAAGACGATATTTCTGTCAGTTACTACACACTATCCTCTGGCAGAGAAGAGAAGTTTACCGCAGAATTGCACAGGAACAGTGCATGTAAACTCCCCTGCTTTGGCTGCTCCAGGACTATCTCTGACCACATGAACTCTGACTGGCAATGCTCAGGGATGATGGGGTGGGATATCAATATTGCAGGAGAGCATCGAAGATCACTGCTGCCCAGAACCAACCCCTTCCTGCTGGAAGATGAATTAATCCCTTCTTTGATCTTTCAGAGGAGGCAGCACGAAACACTGAGCTCTGGATGGGTAGATAAGAAACAGTAGACTTCATTTGCCCCAGTCCAGGAGAGGGAGATGGGACGGGGTCAGAACATGTCCTTTCCAGTCTTTGTTTCTCAGGGTGATGGCTTGTGTTTAGGCAGCAGATGATGTAAACCATCACATTGTTCTCTAGTACAGAGTAGGCTTCCAGCGGCACCGAGGTGTAACAGCTGTAATTGTGAGCTGGTGTCTTCAGGCAGACTTTGAGATGTGGCCTCCTTGGAAATGGCTCTTTGAGGAAGTGGGTCTTGAGGAGGCTTTAACTGCCTTTTCTTAGATAATTCATAAATCTACCTTGAAGCTTTCCTTGAAGCCCAGAAAGGACTGTTCACTATCCCAGGAAGAGACTTCCACTTTGTAAGTGCAAGGCACAGTGTCAGTTCTCATGCCCTGGGTTACTGTTTGTCACTGCGCCATTGCAATCAGTCTGTAGCTTTTTCTGTTTATTCTGCAGTGATCTCACCTGAAGGTTTGATGTGAAAAATTCTCTCTTTGGAGTCTTCTTAAACCTTTTGAAATTTAGTCCTGCTTTATTTGTCTTAGTCCAAGAACATTGCTGTACAGAACTGTCTAGCTGAATTTTTGGCAAGAGGAGGGAAAAAAGGGTTAATGTGTTCTCATGTATCCACTGGCTTATCTCACTGAAAAGATTGTGAATGTGCTTCTATGTCGAAAACTTGCTTAGAGTATTCTAGGATAAAAGGTTTGAAACCAAAGCAAAATATTATACATTCTTCGCAAAACTGTTATGTTTCATGTGCTTTTAAGGACATGTCAGAACTGGTAATCAGCATCTAATCAATACTTTTTGACAGAAATCATGAACAGACCCATAAATATGTTTATTAATTGAAATCAGTGGGGCTGTATGATTGTGGGATAATCTTTTTTTAATCTGTAACTCAAGCACTGATATAACTACCTTATTGTGTGGGTATACCTGTGTGAGTTTTAACTCATACAGGTCCAGCAAAAGTAAAATAGCCAAAGCAGCACAGACACATCAGTTTGCTGCTTCTTAGGCCACTTGTACCGGGCTCTGTGTCACAACAGATGGATGACCACTGCTGGTTTAAACCTAGCTTAGATATATATGCAGTGTTGGTGTAGCCACATGTGTAAGAGAGGTCAGGCAAAAAAAACCCTGTTCTTGCTCATGAATTACAAGTTTAACCATCCATCCTCGAATGAGTGGCAGGAATGGATGCATAGGCAGGATGGATCCCTGGCACCTGGTGGGAATGCCGCAACCACCAAGCTCCATGGCAGAACTGGTGGTAAGTCACCTGTGATAACCATTTCCGTGGGCAGGCTTTGAGAATGTCTGTTGTACCAGGCCTTGCAAGCAAAATAGGAGAAAAAGTCTAGTTTGTGTGTTCAGAAGATTTCGGGTCAAATTGCTAAATGGATTTTATGTGTCTCCAAGGTTTAATGTCACTTGAACGAGTATCTTGGTGATTTCAACTTTGCACAGGGGTGCAAATATGACTGAAGCAATGGCAGGAAGTCAGCTGTCATTGGATCTCAGCAGGCGAGTTATATTCTAGGCAGCATAGAAAAGTCATTCAAAGTTTGCTTATTCCATCATGTTGATTAAATCTGTAGAGTATGGCTTTCTCTGAAGGATGTTCCAGGTCCTTTTACTACTTTTTCATTTTTGACTATCTCAGTTCTTTTCTCTCTTAAATTTCTAAGGAGTATCCCCTGCTATCAGATCTCTGGTGGTTTGTTGCACCGTGGTGGCCTCTCATAGAAGCTTATTGGCATTCATAGCATCTACATCTCATTCTCTTTACTCTTTCTGAAGCTGTGTCTACCAATTAAAATGAAGATTCCCATGGTGTGAGGGTTAAACCTTTTTCCCTTGCCACTCACTGACTGCCTTGCTGTAGATAATTCTGGAAGTGTAGACTTTCATTCTACTGAAATCTATTTTCTGGGACTGTGACATTTTCTCCTTGCGGGGAAGTGCTGCATAGTCAAGTTTATTTTTATTTATGCAATTTAACAATTTGAAATGTAAGAGTAGTCTAGCACTTACTTCAGCTGACACACTTTTTAAAAGTAGGGCTCAGTTGAGATAAGTTAATGGGAAGTCATATGTGAGATTTTCTGGGTCTTGTCTCCTTTGAAGTGAATTAGTGTCTTTGATTCCTATCTTTTCGTTGTTATAGTTTCTAATGTAACTTATCATGGGACCCTGAAAAATTTCCATTGTTAAAGGAAGTAATGATTACAGACAAAATAGTGAGTACAGTAACTATGATACATGGCTAATAAAAAAGCAGTATAGCCTATTTTTTACTTAAGCTGTTCCTTTCTAGAAAGTTTATTAGAGGACACATAATTCAGTTTATCTCTCATAAAACCTGATAAAGTAAGTGGTTGTTTTTCAGGGTTATTTCTGATCTGATTCTTCCTTGAGTGTCACAGGTTTATGCTCCTGCGTTTTGCACACCTGGGCTTTCTGTAGGTGCTCTGGGCTAAATTACAGGCCAGCTGTCTATGCCAACCTATCAAATGTTTAAAACTGCTTTTTATTCAAATGTGGTAACTGTAGGGATACCTGTTAGAAATCATTCATCATGTTGTTGTCTTTCAGAACTGTTAATGTGCTATATAGGGACCTCATTAGCTGTGGAGTAGCCCTTGGCAGTCTGTCAGGTGCTTTGAATCCAATTTTCTTTTGCCGATGCTTTTCTGAGTGTTTTCCTAGGACTGAATCTGGTTAATACTTGGATCTTTCTGTATAGTCTTTCATCAACATTTCACAGAAGAAGTTTAAAGGAATTCCTCCAGCACTGTCTGGTTCTTCCTTAGCTGTAATTGCTTTTATTTGAGGTCCTAAGACTTGTGGAGATGCATTTGAGGTATTCTGCATATTTTCTTTGACTTTAAAAGGCAGAAAATCAAGAGTTTTTAATTAATACAGATCCTGTTCTGACCTCTCAATTTCCCATTGTAGGTGTCCTTATTATTTTTGATACCATCTTTTGTCTGTTTTCCAATTCTTTGATATATCTTGAAGAAGTTGTGAAGTGTAGACAGTGCATATAATTGCATCCAGTGCTGCACTCGTGACACCTCCAGCGTTTGGTATGCTATCATAATGGTCCCTTTGGATTTGAATTTCATCTCATGCTACATCCTCTGTTGTTTCCTCTCGAGTGGGTGGTTGCAGATTTCTGCTTACTATTGCCACAGATTGTTTCTTTGATCAGTGTCTTTGCAGCTTATGCCTTTGAGATCCTGAAAGGGATGTTACTACATTTATATACAGTCTGGTGATTTATTCTGTCTGACAGTGCTGACTAATCCTCCTAAAAGTCTGCTTTCTAATCCATGTATGTTATCAGCTAAAATGAATGAATAGAGGATTTTCTGTTTACATAATATCAAAATTAGTCAAAACTTTCAGTCACTTATATTTGCCTTGCAAAAGCTTCGTGTAAGCTTCTTCTAACAAAAATGGTGTTACACAGGGCTGTTTGTTTGTTGTTAGCCTGTGTTGTAACCATTTACCATACAAACCTTTACACATGCCTTTGTTGAAAAATACAGTTGCAATATCTTTGCATTACAGATATGAGGCCAAATGTTTTTTATTTTTTGTGCAAGTAATCCTGTTTTCTCAGAACTTTTAAATGTTTAAAGTTTGAACATATATATAATCAGTACTGTAAAGGTTGTACAAAAATATATAAAAATTGTTCTTGTATTTGGTTTGTGTGGCAAGGTTTTGCTAGTGGAGGGCCTACAGGTGTGGCTTCTGTGAGAAGCTTCTAGAAGCTTCTACTGTGTCCGAGGGAGCCAATGCCAGCTGGTTCCAAGAGGAGGTTGGCCAAGGTTGAGACCGCTAGTGATGGTGGTAGCAGCTTTGGGATAGCATATTTAAGAAGAGGAAAAAAAAAAGTGTGCAACACCAGAAGTAGTCAGAAGAGACTGTTCTACATCCTCCTTTAGAGTGATGCAGGGCGCTGGGTCGGTTCATAACGCTTTGTCTCTGTTGCTCCTTCCTCCGAACACTCTTGCCTTGCTTCAGCATGGGGTTCCTTCCATGGGAGACAGTCTGTCATTGACTGCTCCAGAATGGGTCCTTTCCACACGGTGCAGTCTTTCAGAAACAGAATGCTCCAATATGGGTCCCCCATGGGTCACATGTCCTGTCCAAAAACCTGCTCCTGCGAGGACTTTTCTCCACAGGCCACAGTTTCTGCCAGGAGCTTGCTCCTGTGCAGGTTCTCCACAGGCTGCAGGTGGATACTGTGGCTTTACCCTGGGCCTGCAGCGGGATCTGTGCACCTGGAGCACCGTCTTCCTTCCTTCTCTCACCTTGGGCCTGCACCCCTGTTTCTTTAGTATTTTCTAACTCCCCTCACACAGTTAATGTGCAGTGTTTTTAACCCTTCCTTAAATAAGTTATCACAGAGGTGCCACCAGCATTGCTGATGGGCTTAGCATTGGGCAGCAGTGTATCTGTTTTGAAGCTTCTGGAGCTCCCTCTGTCCAACATGGGGACAGCTCATGGTGTCATCTCACAGAATCACCCCTGCAGCCCCCACCCTGCTACCAAAACCTTGCCATGTAAACGCAGTACAATGAGATTAGTCTATAGTGAAAACCGCACTTTCAGTGAGTGGTACTCTGTGGGGGGGATTCTCAGGTTGTCCTTCTTTGTGGAACCATCTGTGTGAGGTTATTTATCCATGTTTCCCTTAGTCTTTCATTGCTAGAATTCAGAGGGGAAGTTATCTGATACCCCACTATCAGCCATCTGGCTGCTGACTCTAGTTCCTCTCGAGAACTTTCTAGTTAGGCCCTTTTGCCCGTGTGTGATTCTGTGGCAAAGTTCATGATGCTTTTTGGCTGCCAGGAGGATAACTGTATGCCTTCAGCCTGGAGAACTCTGTCCTGTATCCATATGTTGTCCTTCCTGTGGGTACGTCCCAAGTCATTCCTTGGGAGCCAAGGGATCATTTTGGGGTTGTTTTTATGTCCCGTTCTTATAAGGTGGAGAGAAGAGGAAATTCTTTGTGAATGGCTGTTTTGGGTTATGGTTGCAGAACAGAGCTGCAGAGTTTGGGGCATAAACCCTGACCTGAGTTGTAGCACATCAGTTGTTTACAGTCAGGCTTTGGGAGCTTGTCATTGTGAAGGGAGAGAATTGGGCAGTCAGGGCAGTGAGAGGTAGGCACTGAAAGGAGAACAGATTTAGCCCTGATGTATCTGTGTGGACATTTTATCTTCTCATGCCCTGGATAACTTTTTTCGTGTTCTCTGGAGGAATACTGTATTGTTTTACTGGGAATTATCCAAGAAAGGCAAAGTAAGAGTGAGTATCTAATTTTCAGCACTTGGTACTGAATATATACCAAAAATGAAAATTTGCAGGAACTTAGAGCTGACACTATTTCATATTTGGTGGGTTCTGGATAAATACCTTTATCAGTAGACAAGCCAACAGAGACTTCTTCTAATTAAGGGGTTTAGTGCAGTGAAGGCTCTCCCCACTCCAATCCTTTACTCTTATCATATTTCATATTTTGCAAATGTGTCCTTCCAGCCAGTGCAGCCTCTGATAATCGCTTTGATTTTTAATTTCATGTAATGTGTTGGCTTTTATTTCTATTCCTGTCTCCTTCATTAGGTGGAGTGGATTTCTCCTTTGTGCCATTGCAATGCTCCTTGTCATATTTCCCATGTTTACCTTTCCGAAAAAGCTCCCTCCTCGACATAAAAAAAAGAAAAAGAAAAAGAAAATTAATTCTGATGATGTTTCAAGTGATGATGATGTGATGAAAGAGAAGACAAATAGCAAAATACAAGCAGACAGTGCAGTTCCTGCCTCTATGGGATTTGGAAAGAATGTTAAAGGTGAAGTTTTTCTTAATTTTTAAATGCTTTAAATTTTGTATGCTAGGATTGTATGAGTGTAATTGAAGGCAGAGTTTTGACGTCCTGTATTTAATAATATGTTTTACTGTTGTGATTTTATTGAACAGTCGTCTTCTAAAAGAACAAAATGCAGCAGGACATCAATTTTCTTTAATTTTTTATGTGTTTGTGTGCCTGTAACAAACAGGTAGGCTATTTCCTATGGTTATGGGACCCTCTTACCAGACGTATTTGTGCATCTTAGAATTTGTAGCTGTCATACTGGCTTTGTAAGCTGTCCTTCATAGAATAATGTGCTCTTCTACAATATAAGTGAAACAAGTGAAAAAAATTCTGGTATGTGAGTTCAATTGCATTCATGCATTTGGGTAATTTAATTGAGAAAGATTATTTGTTTCGTATGCTTTTCCTCTCTGTTTTATATGGCTGGCTATTTATTTTCGGAAGGTTAGGACAAATAAAACCTGTGCTAATTTTTAAACAAGAAAAGATCAAAAGATTGACAAGTAATAGAGATTTTTTGTTTTATTCAAGAAGTAAATCATTAATGTAAAAGATAGTAAGTAGAAATTGGCAAATTTCCAGGGGAAGAAGGACAGTGTTGCTAGAAATTAATTAATATGAAGCACATACAATTTAAATTGATTATATAGACTTAACAGTATCATAATATTGAATAGTATAGGACAAAAATGAATGACCATTGTGTTGTCAGTGAGTCGTCCTGGGATTCCATGATGCACATGCTGGTTGTGCCATTTTGTGGTAGCCTGGGGAATGCAGTGGGACTGGAAGAAATCATGAAATGCCTTTTGTACCATTAGACATAATTTGAACTCAGAACTTCTAAGCGTTTGTTTGTTGACATGGACATCAGTGTTACTTTTTAGTTGGATATCAGTCCGGGATATAATGATTGGCAGACTTTTTAATGACACATTTATGATCACTGTGTTGAGTAGACAAAACTTAGCAAAACCAGCTAGTTTTAGACTAAAACAAGTGTAATTCTAAGTAGTGTTTGCACATCTCCATGCTGATTTGCTCTACATTGCATTTACATGGGTTCTCTCAGAATACCTAAAGCTACTATTATTTCAGTGGAAGTAAAGAAAAAGAGGAGACCAGAAGTTCCTTGGAGTGATTTTATTAGCTGACAAACCAGCATTTTAATCAAGGCAGAAAGCAAGGACAGAGCAAGCAAGGTGAACCTCAAATACCAGATCTTTCAGACCACACTCTCCCTTTGCTAGCAAAGTAGTTGAAAAAGTGGTGAAGCAAGAAAATCCTGTTCCTTCCTTCTTTGAAGACTCTTTGTTCTCTGTATTTGTGAGTCCCCATATATAATATTTTCTCCTCAATCCATAAAACTAGTTGTGGGTTTTGTTTGTGTTCAAGCCTACTGGCTTCTGATTAGTGGAAGTAGTTTAGGGTTACTCCTGTCAAGATTTTCTCAGTAACTTAGGGAAGTGAGAAAGGGGAGTCCAGTCTTGGCTGGCCTCCTTCCTGATTGTTGCAGGCAATGTCACAGCAGAGGGACTGCTTCACCGTGCTGTTGTGCCTGCTAAAGATACATCTGGATGAGTTTGCTGATGCTAGTTCTCTGTTTTGGTGCATAATTTCACCTTCTAGGTCATGTCCCTGCAAGCACATAAGATACAGAGAAAAAAAGTACTCACTTGGGAGAATGTTTCCTAATACTTTTTTTTTAACAAAAATGAAAAATTCTGTATGTCTCATTTTAGCATGTGTTTCTTTGGTATCTGCCTAAATGTGTACCATACCTTCCTTAAAATCCTATATTAATGGAGCTCTTGCTATACAAAAGTTTTCATTTTCTTCAGAGGAGAAACTTCACCATGTGGAACAGTGAAAAGAAACATGTCAGAATGATACCAAGCGAGTGGAGATAATGCAGAGAAAAGTATTTTGCTATATAAGCTGATAATAGCTTTCCCATTCGGTGTCATTTAGCCTAGCAGAGAAGGCCTGCAGCAGGAATGCACTATCATTTAATTATTTTTCAGGTTTAAGTGGGCTTTATGGAATGAGATCATGCCTCAAGCTTCTCAGTTGAGGTAATTTTGTTTATTATGGGAAGGAAAAAAGTATTATATGTATCTAAGTCATTTAGCATTGCTGCTTCTGAGATGCAATGAACATTTTATACTTCCCATTGAATTTCAGAGCTTCATCTTTTTATAGCACGATGGGCAGAAACTCCACTTAGGCAGTAGCTGCAGACTGATGATTTAGTAGGTCATATCTTCTGTTTTGTGCTAATAAATATCAATGATGTCATAGTCTGCCATGACAGAGGTCAATGACATCAGATCCGTGAAGTCCGTGCATCTTTGGTAGGAAAGTAACTGTTTTGTTCTTCCAGTATGATGTCATCTTACCTGGAAAGCCTGGCAGAGTGATTCTTGTCTTGTTGGAACTTGTCCTAATTTCCTAGTTAGCTCTCTAGATGAGTGAAAAGGTATCAAAAAGTCATAATGAGAGAGGGCCAGAGTCTTTTTTTCTGCAATGACTACCCGTATAGGCTGAAGAAATAAACCTAAACTGTCTCCATCTGCAAGTAGCCTCCAACTTCAGTGACCTGAGCTTTATTTTGCCCCATGGTAGAGCTGAGATCAGATAAAAATACAGATACGTCTCTGCTTTTTCACATGTTTTCAGTTGCAAGGGCTTGGAATCCTCTTTCTTTTCTTATTTATGTTTCAAGCAGAAAATGTGAGTTGGAGAATTCTTCTGAGTCAGTTATCAAAAGTATTAAATAAAACGTTTAGTAGGTCACAGGAGGAAGAAAATTGGATGTAATTTATTGGGAGAAATAGAGGCAGTGTAGATAACATGAGCTGGAGGAGATCTGTAATGAAGAAACCACAATTCAATCCCATATGTGCAGATATGACATGAATCTGAGCAGACAAAACTACTGTTCTCATTTATTACCTAGATACCCCTAAGGTTTTGTACCATGGAAATTGTATCTGCAGTCCCTTTCACTTACCACTATAATGAAACTTACTGTGCAATTGAATAAAGGAGCAGTGTAAAGAAAGTAAATGTGTATATTACCTAAAATATACTGATCTAATCTGAATTAAATAATTAATCTAATTAATTACATGTATTTTATAGCCTTTAGGGTTTTTTTTTTTTTTTGGTCCATATGTACAGCCCTTTCTTAAATGTAGAATATTCCTGCCTGCCTTTTCATATCTACCAACTGTTGTATGCTTTTCCCAGTCAATCCCTATGAGGGACAGACACAGGATAATAATGACTGCCAGGACAACAGCAAAGATAAAAGAAATTCCTGAGGGACTTGTGGCTGCAGGATAAGCCCACTACAGTGCTTCCTCGAGGATCTGGACTGGGGGTTCTGCACTACCTGAAGATTAGTTGGCAGGGCTTGGAAGGAGAGGAAGAGACAATGGTCTGTGTGTGAGGGTTCTTGGTGAGCACTGCGAATGTCAGAGGGTTCAGCAGACTGGAACTCCAGCAGGCTGGAGGCCCTGCCGTGCCACTGACCTTGAGCAAATTGCTCCCCTCTCATCCTTTCTTAGGCCATCTTGAAGAGCTCAAAATAGAAAAGATTGGCTGGCATAGCTCCCTGCAGTGATTAGCAGTGTTAGCTCTTAGGAGCTCTTAGGATCTCTTCTAAATGAAGTTAACAAAAGGAATACTTATATCAAACTGGTACTGAAATCCCTGTACACTTGATAGGATGTTATGGGCTGTTCATCTGTCTAGCCACTACCCAGGTGCTTAAGGCATGTCCTGAGAGTAGAATGAAGTTGTTTATATGGTGCATGAGTAGATAATTAAATGACATACATATAAAATTCTGTTCTAGGGTTTATTGATTAGCTCCATGCAGGATGTATTTGAAGTAGTTGTGTGTGACTTTGCTAGTTTCCATTCTGATAAACAAATTGGAAATTCTGTCTCAAATCTTGGCTCTGCTTTTTACTGCACAAGAGGGGAAGCTGTTCCTGAGACCTCAGTGTGGAGGCAGCCTCTTTCAAAGCTGCTGTCCAGGCTTGGAGCATCAGCAGAAGGGGGATCCTCTAGCTAACATCTCTCTCACCCTTACAAGGGACTTCACTGATAGACTGCAAAAGGGCGCTGCGATAGACTGGGATGATTTATTCCCCTGATTGTATTCATTGTATTACCTTAGGCTAAGTGCATAGGAACAGGGAATAAAAGAAAATACATTAAATGATGAGAAAGGAGATGAAGTCGGAATTATTGGAGTTTCTTTTGAAATTCTGTTTAGAGTGCTTTAAAAATTTTGTTTATAACAGTATTTATGAATACTTGTATTATTTGCAGATTTTTCTTATGCTTTTCCCTTACCATGAATCATGCAGTGGTCCAGCACATGACTGAAAGTGAGTGCTGACTAGTGAAAAAATATTGTCAGAAAAAATATTGTCAAAGATCATGAAAGTATGAAAATTGGCAGTAGACTAACAAACCAGTCCAGCAAGGCAGATTTCAATTTAGTTTATGTACTTATATGTCTTAGTTACATGTTAGGTTACTGGAAAAAGAAAAGAAAGATGAGGATGTTTAAGATTTGAGTTACGGCACAAAAGTGTAAATGTGTTTGCAGCCATACTGAAAGATTGTTTTAGTTTTAGGAATGCAACTGATAAAAACTTATTTGTTTAAATGACAGAATGAAGAAACACTGCAAGTTCTCGTAGGTTTGTTTCTGATGCACACTTGGAAAAACAGGCAATGTCTTTTGAAGACCTCATAAAAATCAAACCTGACAGGTTTAATAATGGCCTTGAAATCAAAGCCTAGGCCTATGGCTAGTCATGTAAAAGTAATCTGACACTGAAATGTTTTTAAAGCAAGATTGATTGTGTAGTACAAAGGATCCTTAAAGTTTTTAGCATTCTTGCTTTTTAGTAAAATTAGTGTGGTTGAAGGATATCAGTTACTTATAGTGCCTTTTTATTACAGGTTTTTAAATTCAGAAGTGTGGTATAGATGCTGTCACACAGGATTTGATGGTGATCATAGGAGTAAATCAAGGAAAACTTAACTCTGAATATATGTTTTTATTTCCAAGTTTCTTACTATATAACAGCTTTTCCTTGTATGCCAAACAGTTGAAATCACACAGAGCTTCAGCTCTCAGCTGCTTCAGGTGGCAAGTATTAGTGTGGTATGAAGAAATACACTCTTATTTCATGCCAAAATGTACAGTAATCAGCAAAGCTGTTATTTGAAGAATCCTTCACATGGGTGTAAGAGAACTTGTACTTATTCCAAGACACGAAGTTTTATCTGTTTATCAGTAGAAATCCAATTTCAAAATACTAATTAGTTTTGAAATGAATAATGACCTTTAGCCTGAGTGCTCAGATGAGATGCAAGTAGGAGTCAACAGAAAGCTCTACATATGAAAGCCAGAGCAAAATGTTCATTAGCTCTGCAGTTCTTTGCCTAATTAATTCTTCAGTATCTTTAGATTGAAAATTCTAAACTAGACATTTTCCTGAGGCTCATTTCTATCAGGAAGGGCTAAACTGTACCAGCTATTATGATATTTGGATCAGGCTCTTTAAAATTTAGCCAAAATCTTGAGTTCAGATCTTGACCAGGGACTTTCTACAAAGAGCACACCTTTCATCATCCTAATAAAATGATATTTCTCTCAGTGATGATACCTTATTATTTTTCTTCCACGTTTTCAGCCCAGGTGAGCAGCTGCCATCAAATAACTCAGTTTCCAGCAGGACTGATCCTGGTACTTCCTCTTTCTCCTTCCTGACTGCTTTCTCACAGCAACATCAGCATGGTCATAACTGCTTGCTCCTGTTGCTTCTACTGCAAACAGTGCCACTCTTTAAAAAACAAACCAAACCAAACCAAAAAACAAACCAAAAAACCTGTAGGTGGTCAAAACCATTAAGACTCAAATATATGAGTGCTTCATAATAAGATTTTATTCATTGGTTATTTCCACCAAATTTTGTATTTAACATTTAATATGTTTCTTTATTGAAGAAGCAGGAGAGCATTTGACTACATTAAAATTATAAACCCTGTACTGATAATGAATTCAGTATCAATTTTGACAACTGGCATAAGCTAAGACTGAATGCAGTCAGACAACTTAAGTGCTAATTTGCAACCTGACAAGTTTTGACAAGACAAGAGTCTAAATTCTGTTCACTTTTAGATAACCTACTGGAGTCAGTGGAGAAAGTGATTTTTATCTTGACAACTTATAGAATCAATAAAATTCTCACTTGGTTGTTCTTGCTCGACATGTTGTATTTCTAATGGGTGCTCTTGTCTTTGACTTCAATCGGCTTTGATTCAGGCACCATTCCATTTTTGTACCAGGTGAGAAGCAAATGAAAAAAACCCTAAACTATAGTAGGCTAGATATAACACTTGAACAGAAAATCTGATCTTGGTAGAAACCCCAAGTTAAAAAAAAATGTTTAAAATTGCACCATTAATTTCAAAAAAAATTAAGTGCTGAATAGAGTTATCATCATCATCTTGTGATGATAATTAGACATCACTACAGGACTGAATTAAAAATATGTAAGTGTTTCATTTAACTGCAGTGTTGAATTTCGTGGGGTTTTGATATTTGATTTGAGAATAATTGCAACATCTATGAATTCTTTTTCAATTTAAGTTAATGATGCGCTCTCATTTTTAATTGATTGCTTTATCCCTTCTGAGAATAGTAAGTTGTATGTAATGTATGTTGAGGTTCACTGTTATCATTGATGTAATTTTTTCATTATGCTTTGTCTGCATCACTGTAAACAGTTTTAAATCATGTAGAAAAATATTTAACTAAAATATTTTGGTTCCTTTTTAAATGAGAGTATTATTACCCCAGCTTTCCAAGCATGGTCCTTGAAGCAGAGTTCAGGGGGGAGTATATGATCTGTTTTCCTCCTGTGGAGTGCAAAACACAGTACTGTCAGTTCAGCAGTGTGATATGTGTTAACTCATAGAAAATTTCAAAATAAGACATCAGAATAATTCCAAAATCACTACATTTTATTGCTTTTTTTCTTTCCATTATAGTGTTACTATGTAAGCCCTGTTTCTTCAGATGGTTTTGTTAAAACAGACCTCAGTTGTGTTGGTGCAAAGTGGGACTGCAGCCCTGGGGCAGTGCAGTGAGATAGAGTAAGAGCAGACAAAGGGCTGCAATCCCAAGTATGCACTCTCCTTCTCTGCTTAGTAGCCAGATGCTAATGGCCAGTCTTCGCGAGCGAAGATCCGGGGAAGGTCTTTACACCTTCCAGCCTGCGCATTGGATTTTTTAGGTGAGACACAGTGTGCGCGGAACTGAGCCCACCCTTTAATCCTAAGGTTCATCTGCCGGGGCCAAGCGAGCTTGGACGGTGGCAGCGAGGTCCTTAGGACGTAGGTGGGTTGCCTTTAAGGGCTAACGAGCCCCACCTGCCCGGGAGTGGCCCTGACCGGGAATCGAACCCGGGTCTCCGCGGTGATAGCGCGGCGCCTTTACCACTGGACCACCAGGGGCTCCACTAGCCAGATGCTAGCAAGCCATTATTGCCAGTCTGTCTCAAAGAAAATCAATTGGTCTTGTTTCAGTTTGGTTTTGTTTCTCACTCATTGTTTATAACATTCGTTTGTCATTTTTGTCATTTTATAGAGCTTCCAAGAGCAGCTGTCAGGATCTTAAGCAACATGACATTCCTTTTTGTGAGTTTGTCATACACAGCTGAGAGTGCCATTGTCACAGCTTTTATTACCTTCATTCCCAAGTTCATCGAGTCACAGTTTGGCATCCCAGCTTCCAATGCCAGCATCTACACTGGTAAGGCTTTGCCACGTAGTGTAACCTTGCAAGGGTTAGCTTTGACTAATGGAATGAATCAATGTAGGAATGAGCCAAAAATGTGTTTGTTGGAACAGGTGATTGGATCCAGCTTTCTGCATTTGGCTAGATGTTCAGGACATTTTTTTGATGCTTGCTATGAGTGTTTAGTAAAAAGTGAACCCATTTATATTGTTAAAGAGCTGGGTTTTTTTTGCATAAGCCTAGGCAGACATTTTCTCATCTATTAATGGTCTCCAAGGGGGAAAAAACAAAAACAAACTAGAAAACCCATAGACATTGCTGCAATTTGTGTACCTTAAAAGATCTCTTAAAGCTGTTCTTATTTTCTGTGAATTTTACTTCCTCTTTGATCTTTAAAATATCCTTATCTTTTTTTATTCCCCCCAGTGACAAGTTGTTTATCTGTCCTATCCTTCAGTTATCTCTCCCCTCCAGGCTGATGGTTTTCTCCATATTTACTTATTGTCACTGAGTGCATAACAATCCGTTTGAGTCAGGAGAGGTCCCCAAAGCCTCTCCAACCTGTCGTTTCAGGAGACCCCTATTTTGCAGGTGTGGTGCTTCCCCTGCTGCCACAGCAATGTACAGCCATGTCCAACTTTTAACAGAGCTACAAACCACAAATTTTAAAGCTTTGTACTGCTCTGTGAGTGGGAGAGATTGCAACTTCTCTAGGAAAAGAGGCCAAAATGTTGTGCAGAATCAGGGCCTGTGTCATGCAGATGAGTTTCTTCCTCTTCTGGCTGCATCAAAGACATTTGTCTTTATAAGCACCTTTTTAACGTCTCCATAGTGCTTACCATATAGAATAGCTTCTGATTGTTAGGCGGGTAGTTCTTTGCTCCTCCATACTTCCAGATACTGTGCATGAGAAGAAGTAATGCAGTGGAGTGAGTTGTGGGGACAGGGGTGAAGCTGCCCAGGGGCATCAGTCAAGGAAAATATAAAAAGTAGCAGAAGAGGGAAGACACACAGACGTCACATGGGAATCACTTGTCACCTTCAGTGGCTGGAAGAAATGCAAGGAATCATTCTGGAGTGTAGAGGGGAGAAGTCAGAGACACACCATGTGGTGCTTTCTGTTTGAGAGCTTTCTAGGGTGAGATTTTCTTCAGGGCATGAAATCCTTGTGTTATGTATATAAGGAGGAAACATCAATTGATGGGATGGTGGTGCTCTCTGAAGCTTCCAATAGCTACACACTCACATTGTGAGTCTTAATAGGATTGCTACTCCGTAACTTGCTTCATTCTCAGGATAAACTGGAAACATTCTTGCCAGAAAGAATATTCAACAGCCAGTACATTAAAAGAGGTAAAACTGGTGTCACCCTGTCCAGGGTGTGAAGTTATTAACGTCTGTTGTTTTCCCTGTTATAAATCACTTGATAAAGACTATTATAATGAACAAAAAGAAGAAGATGAAATATCTCAGGCTGGATGTGCAACATGAACAAGTGAGCACTGCTTCCACAATCCCAACTCCTAAATGTGGTATTTAAGTCAACCGTTGTTAATTTTGTAAATATTTTTTGTAGGAAAAAAGGGAAAGGGATACTTAGAGATTTTGTATTAGATTGCTACTGGCTAATATAGTAAAAGACATGTCAAGTTTAAGAATTGTCTGATTAGCGAAAGGAGAATTTACATGTTATTTACATTATATATCTATGCTTAATATGTTCATTGCTGGCTGAGTACATGTGCTTCCTGAATCTCTTCGTGTAAAGGTTTTATTGGTAATTTTTTTTTGTCTCTTAAACAGCAATTCTTTAATTAAGTCTCAATTTCTTTCTGTTTTAAAACAAACCTGACATTAATCATCATCAAAAACATCATGTGCCAGACTTCATTTCTTGAATTTGTGCAGCTTATACATTTAATTTACCTCTTATTCTTACTTTCACAATATCAACATTTTTATAAATGTAATGTCTTATTCACCTTTAGAAAAATTAACAGAGAATGAGTATGCTTTGCAGTAATATTAAAGGTATTTTGCAAGTGATAGTCTTATGGGGTTCTTTAAAAAGACCAATATTTCTAAGAATTTGGATTGTAAAGTTGAACTTCTCTGTAGATGCAGCTGCCAAAAGTAGTTCAAATTCCACGTTTATGTGGAATGCATCTTTATTAGCAAAGCCGTAATTTAAAGACCTTCTCACATGTCAGTGAGAAGCAAAAGCTAAGGGAGGAAAAGTGCAAGACATTTGCTGACTTAACATGACCTCAGGACCCAACAAGTGAGGACAACCCAGGGGTGTGTTGGTGTACTGCCACCTTATAACTGCAGCAGTAGAGCAGCAGAAATTTCATAGATGTCTTTATGTCTTAAATTTACCCTAATTCTAGTATCTTAATTTCTTTAATTGCATTTGATCAGTTTACACTCTGCATGTCTGTGCTGAGATGAGTTGGAGTGCTGATGTAGGAATCATAGAATCACAGAATCATTAAGGTTGGAAAAGACCTCCAAGGTCATCAAGTCCAACTGTTGGCTGAATAACACCATGTCAATAAACTGGAGCACTAAGTGCCACATCTGATCGTATCTTGAACGAGGGATGGAGACTCCACCAATGCTTAACCCACCTTTCAGTGAAGAAATTCTTCCTGATGTCCAAACTGAACCTTTCCAGTGCAGCTTGAGGCCATTTCCTCTTGTCCTGTTGCTGGTTGGCTGGGAAGGTGCTGCTCAAAGTATCCAGAAGGCAGAATTTGCAGCCAGACTCACACATGCACCTGCCAGGGTGGGCAGGCTTCTGGGGTCCTGCCTGAGGTTGGCACTTGTGCTTCACTGGAATTAATCATGAAAGTAAGAAGAGGAAGATTCATGTCCAAATCTGGATTTCTTCAAATTTTCAGGAGTTAAACTGGACCAATATGTAGTCCTTCTCCCCATTCTAAAATAAATACAAAGCAATGTTTCTGCTTGGAAGTACAATAGTTCTCTTATAGTGCTTTGGCTGCTGCTAATATCATAAGGAGGCTTTTATAGATTCTTTGACAACACTCCAAAGGTTTGAAAAATCTGACTCAGTTTGCTAGCAGAGAATCAGACAATGGAGCAGTCATCTAATTAAAGCATGAAACCAATATTTATTTTTTATACCATTTCTGTAGGTCCTGTTTTAATGTTGTTTGAATTTTTTCCTGGCAGGTGTGATTATTGTCCCAAGTGCTGGTGTTGGTATTGTCCTAGGTGGCTACATTATAAAAAAGCTTAAACTTGGTGCAAGAGAGTCTGCAAAGTTGGCTATGATCTGCAGTGGTGTATCTCTGCTGTGCTTTTCGACGCTCTTCATTGTTGGATGTGAAAGCATTAATTTAGGGGGAATAAATATACCTTACACAACGGGGTAAGTATCTGTGGCAAAACCAGCTTTTTCCAATAAGCCTGATCTAGAAATGTAAAAAATGCTGATAGCTGATGTACTGAAGAAGCGACATGTTCAAATGAGAATTCACTGAGTATTGTGATATAAACACATGCTGTTACTGTGTGGCCCTTCTTCTTTAGGACTGGTTTATAATGAAGGTTACATAGTAATCCACCCTTTTGAGGAGTGGAGAAATGCCTTAAAATGAACTTCAGTGATTGTTGCAGAAAAGTAAGAATAGTATCCTTTATAGATCCCTTAGAATTTAGTTGGTGTTTCAAAATATTTTCTTCTCATGAAAATTGTGAGAATACTTAAAGGGATTATAAAAATTATTTCTGAATGAGTTTATTTATTATCACCATAATGATGTCTTAGGTCTACTGTTAGGTCCCTGTTTGAGAGGATGAACTTGAGCAGATATGCTATCAACATTATTGGTATGCAGTGCTTCTGAACCACTTACTAGCTGTATGAATGCCCTGCAGTTCTTGCTGGGTCATCATCAAGGAAGCCCTATAATGAGGTTTTATTTTCTTTCTTATTTTGTACATAAAATTTTCCTCAAAATTGCCTTCCTCGTATAGGTTAAAAGCAAGAACAGAGTAAGTGTTTGAGGAGTGTGAATCTATCTGAAGCAATGTTTTTCCCTTTGCTTTTACATCTGAGATATGTCTGCCTTTTATTTATGACCCGGTACTGAGTATCAGATCCATTTGTATATCTTCTTTTTAAGGCTCAGCTCTGGACTCTTAACATTTTGAAGAGAATATAGAAGTGTGGAGCAGGAAAAGAAATGGTCAAGTGGGGAAAAAATACAGCATTGCAGTGATCTAGGAAGTGAAAACCAGAGTCAAAATGGGAGTCAAGGGAGGAAGAAAATAGACGCTGTTTATATGGAGAATATTTTGCGTGGCTTGTTGCTGGGTGTTACTACATTGCTGTCAAACCTTAATCCTTGGGCAAAGAAAACCAGGAACTGAAAAATCATGAGCTGATAGAAAGCTGGTTTACTCCTTTGTATTCTTTACACCTAGAGTTAAAGCTTGGTGATGAGGGGCTGTCTGTAGAAGGGAGTAGCATGGTGATATATCCTCATCTGCACGGTGGGCTGAAGAAGGAGAGAATAGGGATGGGAAGGGAGGGGGTGGAATGCTTTGAACGTCCACCTGCTGTTAATGTTGTGACAGCCTGTGGGTGTAGATGGAAAACTGAAAATTATTAGGAATGAAAATACAGATTCCAGATAACAATTAGTTGATCTGTGTGGCAAGTCAGAATGTCCCTGCCTGGCTAATGAGAAAACTGTAGCTTTCTGTGTGGGGGAAAAAGTCTTATTTGATCCAAATCTATTTCTAAACTGAAGACATGGCATACTATTGCTATGTAACACATAGCCTTCATGCTGGAATTGTAAGAGTATCTAATATTTTTTTGTGAATAAGTAATAACATTTGCAATAATTACATAACATGAATTGAAATAGGCATGTATTCCCAGGTGTTGTGAAAATCTACAGTAGCATTACTTCCTTATCACCTTCATCTAATTGTTTTTATGGAGAAAAGAGGTGAGAAATGGTAATGGCAAAATTCTCACAAGAGTTGATGTATATAAACTCTTTGAAATGAGTATAAAAATGAATGTAATTAGGCTGTAATGTCATCAGACATTGAGAATTACTAGCATGTTATAAAGCATAGTTCAGGAGTTTCAGCCACATTTTTTTTTAACACAGAGATCAAATCCAGATTTATTATCAAAATTATAGTAAAAAGACAGCACTATGCATAAATTAATCCTGAATATCTGACATGATAAACATTCTCTTAATCCTTATGGTCAATCATTTGATAGCTTCAAATCATTTACTTAGTAGGCAACTCTTTAACTCAGACATCAAAGAATGTTACCGTTCATGTAATGAAAAAGTATGCTTTCATTTTGAGTTTTAATAAAACACATGTCATTCTCTAGTTTCAATGTAGTGCAGTGTATGGACATCAAAGCCAGTTCAACGGGCTAGATCAGATAAAAAAAGCAGTACAGCTACTTGGTTTGGTATAAATGTGTTGCATGATGCTCTACCTTAACATGGCAATGGCGGGTCTGATGTGTGAACTACCTGCACTGGTAGCAACCCAGAGATCTCAGCTGCATTTGGCAGTGTAGACATACCCTGCAGGATAATCTCTGGACAAACATGTTCCTTTGTACTGTTGATTTCTTATACATTTAAAAAGTAGGAGTTTTTAATCTGATGAACTGAGCCATGAACCAATACAGAGGAGAAGGATATGCTGGGTTTCAGTTAACATAGAGGTATGTGCATACCAGTACTCAGGAAAGTAGGCAATGACATTTCATAATTCAGCATGTTTCATAACTCAGTATTTTTCCAACTGTACCAGCTGTGAGGAAGTGGATGGCACCTGGAGGCATGCACAGATTAGGATACGTTAGAAAGGATTTTCTGCTGTTTTATGTTGGGCACAAGCAGTTTTGCTTTTGTCGGTGTGTCATCAGCATTTCTGTTATCAGGAAGATCAAGGGCACCTCTGCATTATGCATCTCAGCATTTTAGAACCTGTTGTTCCATGCCCCAGCCTTGTCTCTGAGGGCATGTTTGATATTTGAATGCAGTGTAAGGAGCCTTATGTCAAACCACAATATGGCATCCCTTCCCTTGCACAGTAACCAGTGTCCAGATGGGAAGTCCTGAGTCAGTGAATTGCCTCCTTGTCCAGGCGGTTTTTGAATAGCTCCAAGGAGGGAAACTCCACAGCCCGCCTGGTCAGCACCGTCACTTTCACAGTGAAAAAGTGATTCCTGATGTTCATAAGGAACCTTCTGTGTTTCAGTTTGTGACCATTACCTCTGGTCCTGGCACTGGGCACCACTGAAAAGAGCCTGGCTCTGTCCTCTTTGTACCCTCCCTTCAGGTATTTATGGGCATTGATGAAATCCCCCTGAGCCTTCTCTAGACTGAACAGTCCCAGCTTTTCCTCAGAAGAGAGACGCTTCTGTCCTTTCATCATCTTAGTGGATATTCATTGGTCTCGCTCCAGTATATCCATATCTTTCCTTTACTGGGGAGCCAGAACTGGACCCAGCACTGCAGGTGTGGCCTCATCAGAGCTGAATAAAGGGGAAATAGCAGAGATTTGGTTGTTTTCAGACCTGTCTCTTCCATGTTTTATGGTGTAAGGCAGCTAAAACAGGCTCCGTGGGGAGCTTACTCATAGTGACAGATTCCTGGATTAGTTCAATTCCGTCTCTCACATTTCTGATATGTAATGAATCAAAAGAGATCCTTTTTGATTGCTTTCTGTTGTTTTGGTGCAATTAAGATTTAGTTAAAGCATGGGATTGACTTACTGAGGCCTTTCATATAAAAAAATTGTATTCTGCTTCTAGTACCACCAGTTTGAGTTTTTGTATCTATTTCAGTCCAATCAGCCAGTGGGTTCCCTTAACTTGAAAGCAGTGACTAATTGGATCAGAACAATAACAACAAAGAAAGATTCCAGCTAACACAGTGAGAGGGTCCCTTGTTTTACAGCTACACAAAAATTGCATCATTGCTTCAATTCCAGCTGCTTGCCAACAAGGAGACTGCAGATCTCTGCCGTCCAGAATGCCCTTCAATACCAAACCAAAAGTATTACTATCAAATTAACATAATCCTTTTTATCATATAGCCTACTATTAAGATTATAGAAATTATGTGGTAAGGGGTTATCTCCTTTCCTTTGTATTTCCTCGGTGCTGTAGGTTACTACAGTGATCTAAATAAACCTGAATAAAACCATGTGCAAGCCAATTCTTTGTTTAGATGTTGCCAAAATATAGTCAGACATGTTTGGTTTTATTTTTTAAACTGCTTTTCATTTAGATTGTAGCCTCATGGGAAGAAGGTCCACCTTTTTTTCCCCCCAATATATATGCATTGACTGCCAGCACAGTGAGGTTTCAGTCCAGGCCTGAGTATGTGAAATAACAGGTCACAGCTCTAAAAACTCCAGGCAATAAGTCTCACCTTATATTTTCACTTTTCTTATTTTACTCCTATACCACAAGCGTTCCACAGAGTAACAGCTGGAGAGAAGACTAGGATTTTGAAAAGAATGTTAGAAACTTGAGTCCCTTTCATTGTTAGTCATGTCTAATAAAGGTCTTCTCTTTATTAGCATTACTATCACTGTGTTATGGAGACACAGAACAGTCTCCTTGAGAAATGAACAAGTGCAGTTTGTCAGATGGGATTCTGGGTTTTGTCACAGCACACATTTAGCAAACTTGCAGTTCAATCTTATTAATGAAAGGAGTGGCATCATTGTTTGTAATTGAAAGAATAGTTCAGGAAATGCTTCTGCTTGGGGCTGGTTTCTGTCAGTGTGCTCGTGCATGATGGGTATCCTTGGCAGCTCAGGTGCAGCAGTGTTGCAAGTTGTCAGCATCTGCACCCACTGAAACAAGCAACGTGACTGTTTCTCAGACATCTTGTGTGTCTACAGTAGTCGGTGCATTGAAACTAGGATGCTTTTCCCACAGATCAGCTCATGAGCAGGACTTACTTACTAGCTTTGGTGCAATTTCCATAAGAGCCTGTTCTTTATGACTGATGCAGGTAAATCCGTGCTGTGCTGTGCAGTAATTCAGGGATCAATGCTCTGTTTTCCTTTGTGGAGAGTAGGCAGCCTCCCAGTGTCAGAAGGCAGGATTAGTAGAGTACTTTGGTTCAGCTTACTTCTGGAAAAATGCATACCTTCAAGAAAAAAACGATCCCTTCCTGAAAGAAGTGTTCAGGAAATCTGTTATAATAGATGCTATATGGTAGATCTTGTATGGTGAAAATGGGGTTTTGTAGATATATGTGGTAGAGAGTTTCCCATCACTGAGAGAGGAGTGAACAGTGAGTGAGTACTGAAGGTAAAAAGATAAAATCATGAATCTCTTACATGATAATGAACTTTTGGAAATCAAATTAATATATGATTTTGCGTATTACATGTTCTTGAAAGCATGCAAAAAACCAAGCCTCTTTGTGTGCAAGACATTTGCTCTAAAAACCAAAAAGAAATCCCCCACATTAACCTTACGGTGATATGCTGAAGTACAAAAGGTGGTGAAAGCTGGAGAGACACATCATGTCTCACACAGCTTGTTATTAATTTGAGCATATTTGCTTTGCGTATCTGTAAACTTAAGTCTTCTAGGCCAAACAAAAAAATGTCCCTGAGATTAAATTATCACAGTGGTCTCACTTCAGTTCCCAGTTTCATGCTTCTCATTTCTTGCATGCCTGATTTCATTCATCTCTTTCTTTTAAGCTGATTTCCTAACCTCTATGTCATGGTACTTCTCAACAATGCAGCTGAAGTGACTTAGTAAGCAGATCAAGATGGGGAATGGGCTCTCCTGCCTGTGGAATAACCCAACTCATCTGCTGCTGAAAGGGTTTTAGGTGATGGAGGGATAAGAGGTCAGAAGAATGTGCCCCACAGGGTGGGAGAGGTTGGAGAGGGAAATCTGAGCTGTGCCTTTCCTGGCAGTCTGGCCTGTGTCTGGAGCTGTCCCTGTGCTGTGTGGTAGAGCCCTGTTGTCAGCAGGGACGTGGGCACAAGGGTCTCCCGGACAGGTCATGGGGACCCTTCTTACCTCAAATACTCAGACATCTGGGACATCCAACTCAGAAGGCAGACTAGGATCTTGTAAGACTCCAAAAATGCTGCCTCTCCTCTTGGTGTGAAAAACTTCTGTCACTATACTGCTGAAATCCATATGTTCCTGAGGAATGTTTTGGTGATTTGGTGTTTTCCGTTGGAGAAAAATTTCTGTTGAGAGATTACTGGAAAAGTCTGTCTGTTGCAATATAACGTGTTGCTGCATATTGCTTACTGAAATCCAGTGTGATATAGTAAGGCAAGTTTCAGCTGATAGCCGAGAAGGCGACATAACCAATATTAGTCTTGGATATTTAATTTCCTACTCAAGCTGCAATTTGTTGCTAAAAGTGTGCCTTGTTTGTTTGTGGCACAAGAAAGAAAACACTCAGAAAGTCTTTGGTTAACATCCAACTAGACCATAAAGTGTAAAGTAGCTCCCAGAGCTAAATTTGTGAACCTGTTTTGTGTGCTCAGTAGACAATCAATAAATATTTAAAAGCTACATAGTAATATTTAATTGACTGCAAAAGTGCGCAGCTGGAAAGACGAGCATATTCAGCGAAAGCAAATAGTGGTGTATAAATACAAGAAAACCAGTTGAGTGGAATGCTTAAAGCAGCAGTTGTACTACTTAGTGTCACTGATGATAGGAGGTGAGGTGACAGACAATATAGATAACAATTGCTGTGAGAAGAGTGGCTCCTGAGCTGAGCCTGGTCTAGTCAGGTGTGGAAGATGGGAGCAGGAGAACATCCCCTGTGGTCCATGGGGTAGCTGGGATGCAGTAAGTCTGATGTTAGCTGTTTATCTTCACAGTGGTCTTGCTCACACATCACAGATGTGAAGACAAGCTAACAGCAGCCCATGTGAGGCTCTGCAGCCAGGAGAGGCTGTGAGCATGTGTACAAGATCTTGGGGATCCAGATTCCTGTTCAGCTCCTGCCTGAGTGACGAGGTGCTGAAATTCCCTGGATATCTACTGATCTGCTTAGAGGTACTTGAGGTAGTTTTAAACAGTAATGGCCATTGAGCAGTACTGAGAGCAGGGCAAACAAGGCAGAAGGGTTAATTCAACATCACATTGCGGTGCCTGGTGTGGAGTGGTTTTGCATACCCGTGTAATTTTCCGAGGCAAGATTTTTGCTTATGGTGCATGTGCAAATACTCATGCCCCAACAGAACTCAGTACTTAGCTCTATCTGGTTTTGCAGATTCTGCAGGGTTCATACTGGCATTTATTCTTAGAAACTCAGGTCTTCTGGACCAGACTTCACATGCACCACAGGCAGAAATAGGATGGAGCCTGCAGCTCTGCTTAGTGCTCAGGTGTGAGAAGGCAAAGGGCACAGTCTTCTTCTGGAGTTGGGAATTTTCATACATATATTCTTATTTCTGGAAAAGGCCTTTAAATTTCACTCCTGCAACGTCTCCTCTTTTCACATTTAGTCTTGCATGGATTGCTTCAGTATTCTTTAGAACTGGGTTTTTATATCTAATCAGTGAACTGCTGGATAAGTGATGCAGTGGACACTTCATTTCCATCTGTGAAAAGACTGTCAATTAGTTTAAAAGTATTAGGCAGGAAGACGAAGGAGGGACAGCCTTGTGTGACACAGAGCTGGGCAAATCCAGCCTCGTGGGAGTGGATCCAGAAGCTGTACCCCTCTGTGGATTGAGACCAGGGATTGTAGCCATGAGCTGCAGTGTCTTGCAGTCTCTGAAACACCGGTGAAAGGTGACACATGAAGTATTTAATCTTTCAAACTAATGTAATGACACACTGAAGGGTTCTGATACCACTGTAATAAAACCCACAAGATAAAAAATTATCTGAAACTGCCTTCTCAAAGCACCACCTTTTTCCCCCGTTCAGCTACCACGCACTTTAGCTATGGAAAGTCACGAATCCATGCAGATGACAGACTGCATGGCTCTGTCTTCTGAGCTAAACTAGGTCTCTGACATTGTGACTACTGTGGAGAACGTAGAGGAGTGCACTGACTGAAGAAAGACTTTGGGACATGTTTGAAATGATGTGAAATCTTTTCAAAACCCAGATTAAGCATATTTTTAACTCTTGAATCTCAGTCATTAGTATCTTGCCTATTCTCAAGGACTACTGAAGTGAAGTAAGCTACTGTTTTTATTTTGGCCTGAGCTCTCCAAGACCAAGCATAGACTCTTGTGACGTTTTAGGGACCCATGTTGGTACAGGTATTTAAGCTGCTGTGACTCAAAGATGGGAAGGAAACGTTTGAAATATATCTGAAACCATAAGGCATATATGTGTGTTTCCCACTGATACCTGCTTTATTAGCACTGACCACTGTGTTTAACAGTTATTGTGGAGGAGATAAGAACTGCCTGACTGTGTGTTTTTGCTATGAAGTCAGGAAATTGGTTGCTACAAAAATTTCTCACCTTGTGTGTGGTAGCCTCTCTCCACCTGTTTAGCACTTAAAATCCTAGAGTGCACCTGTGACAGAAAGTAACCTAATAAAATGGAAGAGGTCCTGAGTAATAGGAGCAGCTTCATGTGAAAATGTTGATATCAGCTGCTTTTCACTTTTCAGTGACTTGGAATCACCTTGTGCAGTGAAGAGGAATAGTGGGTGCCAAATTCAGGAGCCATGATTTCTTTAAACAGAAAGGGATTTAGGAAATAAGAACTATAACCCTTAGCTTCAGCTAACCCCATGACCTGGCAATAGATTGGTATGAATAAGATCATTCAGGTAACTTTTCCATTGCCTTAATGCATTCATGTTGCTGACAATATTTTAAACCAAGGTGAAATTACAAATGAGATGCAGAAAATTGAACCAGCAATAAACCACGCTGCAGAGTCTTGCTTTTCCACTTACTAAAATTAATTTAGCAACCTGAAGCAAGTCAGAGAATGTGAAAAGTCTGGTAAAAATAGATAAAAATATAATATGGGCCATTTAAAAAACCTCGCTTGTAATTTGGCTGCATTATGACAGCAGCAAATAACTTAGGTTTCAGAGTGTGTCTTTATGTATATTGAAGTGGAAGAGTTATTTTCTTTTTGGTACCTGAACTAATGTGTTCAAAAGTAGCAAGGATAAAAGATAGTACTTTATCCCTTTACCTTCAGGTACCTTCTGGCACAATGTCTTCAGGTAATACTTGATGTGATGATATTAATTAGTATTAGATGTGGCTTACTGAATTGCAACTACAGTATTTCATTAGAGCAATAATAGTGAAGAACCTGCTTTTTGGTGTGTACATCTCCTTCAGCTTTAAAATTCCTTTTAGTTCCCTCATTCTATATCACCAAAGCCTTCAGGGAAACACCTAGAAAGTTGGGCTTTGGCCAGATTTTGGGGAATGGTCTAGGGCAAGTGGAGCATTTGTTCTTTTACAGACATTTAGTAAAAGCAGAACAGTCTCCCAGATCCAGAGAACTTCCTGTAGATTTCACATGCACATATGAATTATATAAGCAGTAAGTTTTCTGAACAGTTGTTGGTATGTGGGAAGAGCTGCCTATTAGTTCACATTAGTGCACAGAATGCTTACATCTTGTCGCTGAGCCTTTCACTAGTAATCAACAGCTTAGGATAGGCATATAAAATAGTGGTGTCTTAACTCTTAAAGGAAAAAAACCGGGAAAAATATAGCTATTACCTAGGCAAATATGATACGAACTTTAAACTTTATTATTATTTCTTTTATTGTGTTTTTAGTTGATGGCAGGGATGACTTTGGTATTTTTCTTGTTTAAGTCATTACATAACCTAGAGTTAATGCAACTTTTCTCTGATAATCAAGTCTAAGTTTCAGAGTTAATGAGTAGGATGTTTGCTCCCTCTGTACAGGAGGATATGGATATCTGTGCTTGCTCTACTAGCATGTTCTTTTTCCTTTCTTCAGTCCCACTCTTGCCATGGCCCACAGGAATCTGACTGGAAGCTGTAATGTTAACTGCGGATGTAAGATTCATGAGTACGAGCCTGTCTGTGGATCAGATGGAATAACATATTTTAATCCTTGCCTAGCTGGCTGCATCAGTGGTGGAAACCACAGCACAGGGGTAAGTGCTTCACCCACCCATCAACATACAACCTGCGAGTAACCCCACGGGACTGGTGCAGATCAAAGACTGCTCAGTTTCTAGCTCAAGCATCCCTCCTCTAAGCTTCAGATACTTTGCTCTACAGATGACTTGTTCATCTCTGAGTCTTTCCATGTTCTGAAAGGATGGTAATGCTACTAATGCTACAAATTTGAGGCACAAGTTCATTTGTACCAAGTGAACCCTCCAACTGAGAGAGTGCTGTGGGGTGGAGAGGGCTGGTGTTTCCAGTACAGACCCCAAAATCCCTGATGGCTGTGGCCTGCATTTCTGCTGTTCCTGCAGGGCTTGGAGAGGGGACCTTGAGTCAGTGTCATCTAATTCAGCTTTCTGCTAACGTGGGTGGCCATATCATACTGTCTTTCTTCAAGCTCAGTGTTTAGAGCAGTTTTAGAGCAGTTAGAGGGTTTTTTTGACTCCCTTTCTGAATAGAAGGAAGAACTCTTCAGGTTGTTGGAAGTGTTTTAAACTTCTATTTAAATTTAGTTAGGACCTGTTTAATGTCATTGGTGTTTGTGTCAGCCTCATCATTTTGCACAAGCAGCTCTTGAACCTGCACGAGTGTATTGATAGGTCTGTTGTTTGCCCAGCTAGGTGAAGACTGCTATTCTTCTCTTGTAAAACAGTTTGACCATTTCCATGGCCTTTTTCTAAACCTCATCCAGGCTAAATGAAGGGGTTGTCATCAAACTCAAATAACGAGAACTTAAAAGATGTTAATAATCCATTTTCTTTCTTTGAAATACATTGCTGTTACAGCCCAGTATTTCAGTTATGCTGGACTGGAGAAGGACATCCTGATGGTAAAATCGAGCCATGAAAATGTGGCAGTTTTGAGGACTGGGCACAAGAAAACAGTTGAAAAGTAGAATCTGACTTTTTAAATATCAGCAGAGCATTATGGTCATGTAGTTTCATAAAAAAAAAGAACGCTTAAATTCTTCTGTTTCAGAACCATCCTTTAAAAAAGGATAATTAAGAAAGACAAGAAGTAATGTAAACATTGATTTTCTGAGGGCTTGATTGTGCTTTCCAGAAAGCTTACTTTATAAAGTATCAATCTCCTGATCTGCAGTCCTGAGCCAGCCTGTGAAGCAGGAGGACATTAGATTCACCACTGAGCTTTGTCAGATCTGAAGAAGAAGGTTCATATATAGATGTCACCAAGAACAGATTAGTTTCCTTTAAAGGTTTTTTTTCTTTCTTTTTAGATTATCTTGCTGGTTTTTAGTAGAAAATTGCTTTGGCCCAATATGGAAAAGCCTGCGATGTGAGCCTGTGGTTAACTTTCAGTGTCTGTATAAACCTGCTTTGTACTTTCCTGGATTAAGACATAGGTTATATCTTTGCTGCATTTCACTTGATATCAAACTGGCACCAACTAATTTAGTAGGGAAATACTTTAGGGGTATTAAGAAAAGATGCTTTGAGGCTTGAAGTTTTAGCTCGGTTGCTGATGGTGAATTCTTCATGTTCTGAATGATGAATATGAACAGTAACCAAAAGTGCCATTTGTAGATGCACTGAGTACCTAAATTTGTATTTGAAAGCATGAAAATTTACATTTAGGATATATTTAGTTGTATTTAATGGAAAAAGTTCTGAAAAAAGGCATTCCAGTTTTCTCAAATTAGTCACCCACGTTTGTGAAACTTTTGATCTGTTTCAGTTACTTTGCTACAAAATAGAGATAACAACATCAATACCTCATAACTGTTTTGAAGATAAATTACTCATTTTTTAAAGAGTTCAGCTATAATAGCGAGTGGGATAGAAAAATCCATGTGAAATATGAGTCATTCTGTCTTTGTAGTGGAATTTGTTTAATGTGAGGAGAAAAATACCCTGAGTCACATTTTGAAAATGGGAGGTAAAATACTGCATAAATAGATACATTATTAAGATGTTCAGCTAAATCCCAAGGGAAAAAAATGTGAGGCTACATCATAGCATGGATGGATACAAAGGTATATATTAAAATTGACAAACAACCATGATTTGGATATGTCCTGATGTCCAAGTGCCTAAATTTGCAAACTTAAGAGGGTTTTGTAGCTTCTGTACATGTGTGGTCTACTATTTGATGAATGCAAAAATTGACACAAAAAGCTCCTTTCTCTAACATCTAATAGGTCCTGACCTGTTTCTTCTCTAGCATTGGAATATTCTGATCTACTGCACATCCCTTTGCATTAGATTAGATGAGAATAGAAGTAGAATAAATGTGAAAGAAGGCTTCTTTCTCATCTAGCTCTTCCTCACCTGGAACAAATCGTGGTCTCCCTTGCCTGTGAAATGCTACTTCTTTATTCAGTCTCTTCTTAATTTCATTGTCTTTGTCCATTTAGGAATCCAGCATGTCCTTCAGTCCCACTGTTAGAGTCTCTGCTTTCCCCTTATTCTCTGTTTTTGCTGCTGTCCAGATCCACCCCTGCGTCCACACGGAAGGTCCTGGACTTCAAGCATGAAGTGCAGTTTGTTGCTCTTGGGCCAGACCTGGGTAGCCTTCCATTAAGATGGCAGAAGATATTGCTTGAATATGAAAGTCAGCAACCTGCCAAATTTTGGAATGCAGCATTGTCAGTGCTACCTAAAGAGTGTTTCCTCACAGTTTCGTAGTACAGCAGAAACAATATTTTTCTAGCTCCTTATCAGGAGTGATTAAATTGCTGTGGCAGAATTTTCCAAAAGTATTCCAGATTTTCTTTTTTTAAACTCAAACTAAATAAAGCAATGGAAAGGCAGTCTCACCATGGAGAGTCCTGATCAGCTTTAAAATTGGTTGGAGAGGTACCTTTGCTTGTACTTGGTGTAATGGTGCTCAAGGCAGAAGATTGAGAAATATTATGGGACTGTCATACTATGTCTCTGTGCAATGTCTTTCTTACATGTGTTTTTCATGTGGAAATATTCCTTTCTGCTCTCCTTAGGTAAGAAATTACACAGAATGTGCCTGTGTCCAGAGTCGCCAGGTGATCACTCCACCAACAGTGGGGCAGCGCAGTCAGCTCCGGCTAGTGATTGTCAAAACCTACCTGAATGAGAATGGCTACGCTGTTTCTGGGAAATGTGATCGAACCTGCAACACACTTATCCCGTTCCTGATATTTCTCTTCATTGTTACCCTCATAACAGCATGTGCCCAGCCATCAGCAATTATAGTGACACTCAGGTGAGAACTCAGTGATGGCTTTGGAGTAGTTTTGCTGTGCCCACTATCACCAGTGCCTTGTCAAGCTTGTGTATCCTTAAAAAGTAGATAGAATAAGGCTGACAGGGTAGGGTGAAACTTGCTTGTGTTTAGAATATGTAACATGATAACCCACTTTAGGAAACAAGAAGTGGCCAGTGAATTCCAAGTGTTAAAAAAAAAAAACAAGTAACATATCATGTAAGAAAGTTATTCCTGAAAAATTTTCAATTTTCTTAGAGCAATAGTCTGGATCCTCAAATGCAAATGAAAAAAGTTACTATTTAAAATTATCCTTTTCTCTTTCCTAAAATTGTTCATTCCTACCACATGCCTGTTTTTGAGTCTTCCCTTTTTTTCCTTCACCAGGATTTTGAACTTCTGTTGTAGCAGTGATGTTATCACTGTGGTCATTTCAGGATAGAGAATAATACAGTCTTAGTAGGAAAAGGCAGTGGCATTTATTTTTCAATTTGAAAAAAAAGCATTCAGATTTTTACATTGGCTTTTGCCATCTCTGCCATATAGTCTGATAAACGTAATCACTCCCTGTAACATCTTTGTCCATTTATAATACAGCACCTGTAAGTGAAGTTCTGCTGATTTTTAAAGACAAATGAGCGAAGAAAATGTAGTATGCTATACTGCTAAAATAATTTTGTATTTGTATAATCTATGTTGCTGCTGTTTAAAGAGAAGGAGAAAGAATTAGAGGAAAATTACTAGAATTTACAAAGCACACCCATAATCTAAACCTGCTCTCTTTCAGTTTGAAGCCATTCCCCCTTGTCCTGTCACTACATGCTCTTGTAAATAGTCTCTTTAATCATCCAACTGCTGACCACTCCAGGACCGAGCAGAAAACCTGTTAATAAGGGCATTGTCCAAACACTGACAGGCAATGGGCATCAACCACCTCTCTAGGAAGCCTCTTCCAGTGTTTCAGATGCTCTTCAGAAGCACACCCAAAATGATCCAGATGCAAATGGGCATGCTGTCCCTGGGACCAGGTTAGAGCTGATCTGAAGTAAATCCCTACAAAACCTGAAATGCTCGTGGTGTACATGTCGGGTCCTCAGCACTAGCTGTTTAGCTGCATTAATTGCTAACATAGAGACACCTTTTGTCCTGTTTTTGTGTAAAATTTGTCTTCAAATTGAGCTTTTCTTTAAACCAGTCTTGGGCCTTTTCTTCCTGTGAGAATGGTCCTCCCAAGAAAGTGGGATTTCTTCCTGGTAGCGCTGTCTTTTAAGAGCTTCACTCTCATATTCTGAGACCACTGACGTTCTGCTGCTGCTCACAACTAGTCCCCTATAAAATACTAACAATGGCAAATCGTTGTAATAGGTCACGGAACCTTAGAAAACATGAGGCAGGTCAGGACTTGGCTTTGCTATCCTTAGGCTCAGTTGTGAGCACAGCTGACATCCTTGTCTCATCCCCCGCAAGAACAAGCACTCTTTTGCTGTCATTTTCTCAGCTCAAGGGGCTAAGGTTTATGCGGGAGCCTGCTGCTGACACATGGAGGGCACGTGCCATGTCACATTGTGGAATTTGTCTTTCAGTTTACTTTTCAAAAAATCTACAAAATGGGTTCAAGGATCACTGTTAGGACAGTGAAGCCAGGCACTTGGGGGTGGGCATGTCAGACTTCCAGTTGCTCATGCAGCCATACCGCAACTACTCTGTACACAACACCATTTTAATTCAGAGACTTCTGACTTTATTCCTTCTGTCTCTGGGTTTACCACCTCTAAAACAATACTATTAAAAACCGTTACCATTGCATTGCAGTCACACAAAGGCAAACTACAATCAGTGAGCATTAATAATGCAGTGAGCCTCACAATAATGAGGTGCGTAAGGGAGATCTCCAGCAGGGTTTTGTAGTTTCAGTAAAAAATTGGTGGCCCACACACATGAACATCCCAAACCACATATTGTACATGAGTCCAAGGTTTGTGGCCCAAGTTGTTTCTCCAATATTTAAATTGCTTGACTTCAAACCTTGATTTTACAGCAGACCCCTTTGACTGTGGACTTTCTGTAGTTTTTTGTCTTATGTTTTCAATGTCATTAGAAGCTGTCTATTTTAATTTCAGACCTTTAGGTTAAGAACTGAAAATATTTTTTAAATCAGTAGATAACTTGTGGCTTATTACAATTGTAGTTGCAGTGTGGAATCTTGTTACTTTGTATTTCGTCTTTTGTAAGCTAGATATTTTTCCTTTGAAACCAACTGAGAGAATCTTATATTATTTCTATCAAAAAGGAACAGTGTTTAAGGAGACTGTTTTGATGTTTCTACTGATATTTTTCCTAAAGTAGCTTCAAAGTTCTTAAGCTATGCAGAGATCTGTTAAAGTCAGACACTGAGTCCAGCTTTCAGCAATTTAGTTATCCATTAATTATAATTTACATCAAAAAGATTAAGAAAAATAAATTAAAGACATATGAAATAAGAGAAAGGTATCATATGAAGCCATAAATATTTTGGGTGGATTCTCTAAATTTCCTTAATGGGTTTGGATCAAATTCTTCAGGCCTTATGTAAAGAAAGATTAAAAGGCATGATTGCAGTTTTGATTAAACAGATTCAGGAGGGGCTGGCAGTATTTTTTCCTAGCAATAAGAGTTACCAATAGTAGAAGCTAAATCGAAGAAATTTAAACAAAAATTTTTCTATAGTTCAGAAAAAACCCATGAGGTAGAGCCAGAACATACCATGATGACTATCTGTTGTGGCTGTTTCTATAGTGGAGTTTTCTTTTTGCCTGCTAGGTCTGTGGAAGATGGGGAGCGGCCCTTTGCACTAGGAATGCAGTTTGTTTTATTACGAACTCTTGGTAAGTCTTACAGTAGCTCAGCATTTCCATAAAGGCTCACCATGTTTAGCTTAAATGTACTATAAAAATACTAAACTTTCATAAATCTGGAACTGTTTGCCTGATTTACTGTATTAGGAACCTAAAATTAATAGTGTCTGAAAACATTCATTACATAATGTCTTAATTTCAAGTAGTTCAAAGCAAAAAGGGGTACATGTTAAAAGTATTCGACAAAGCAGCTTCTTTCAAACTCTTGAACTTCTAAAGTCCTGCTTATAAAGAACACTCCAGGTGTTCAGCTACTACAAAATATGACTAGAGCAAGCAAGGACTATTCTAAGAGGACTGGAGGGGAAGCCCATTTAGCTGCATCTGGAAGTTTTGTTTGAGGAAGGACATTTCAATCTTGTCTTAAAGCTGTTGTATTTCTGGAAAAAGCAGGAACATTCAGTGGAATGACTGCATTTTTAGCTGCCTTAGAAGTTAAGGTCTGTTTCTGACGAAGACCTATTCAAAAGAAAAATGAAAATCTTAGCAGTCTCACCACTTCCATCCATCCTTCAGTAAGAGAAACATTTTGTGGTCTTTGGTACTTTTTCTTCTTAATCTAAAAGCAGCACCTTTCCCAGATCATGGGCACTGGAAGTTCAGCAAGTAATGCTACAGAGATAACAACCCTGTCCCATGTATTGCTTCCTGAGAGCAAAATCGAATTTTTTTTGAGGGACACATAGTTTAAGAGCCGTCTGAGGACAGCAGATTGAAGCAGTACCTTCTGTAAGGTGCTGCTGCATTGTCTTCTTTGAATTCTCTCCTATTTGTGGTAGACTTCATGTGTATAAAGTAGTGTTGGTGGCAAGATTGGCTGACCACTTTTCCATGTTTTACATTTCATATAAGAACAACAGTGTAGACATCTCAAAAATTTTTGACCTACGCTGTTAGGCTAAGGCGTATACTTTCTTTAGGAGTTTTCCACAATGTACTAACACGTATTATTTCTCTTGCTATTTTTATTTCAGCTTACATTCCCACTCCGATTTATTTTGGGGCTGTTATTGACACCACATGCATGCTTTGGCAACAGGATTGCGGCGTACAAGGATCTTGCTGGGAATACGATGTCACCTCCTTTCGTTTTGTCTACTTTGGGTTGGCAGCTGCTCTCAAGTTCGTGGGATTCCTTTTTATTTTCCTGGCCTGGTATTCCATTAAGTGCAAAGAAGAACAACAGCAGAGACAGAGATGGAGGGCTTCACTGGTGAACACTGTGAGTGAGATGGTTGGACAAGCTGGACCCCAACAAAACTATGCACGGACTAGATCCTGCCCTACCTTCAGTTCCCGAGGAGACACCAATGTGGCACAAGGAATGAACTGCTTAGAACAGACATACCCTGACCCTTTTTCAGAAGCAATAAATTCCTCAAATGAAAATGTGTTGGAAGAAGTCACTGCTGAGATATAGACCCCTGGCTTGGTAATGTAATATTTAATTTTGTTGGTTGACTTAATTACGGCGCCTTGTAAAACACCTGTGCCTTCTATTTTTAATCTAAATGTAACATGATAAAACCAACAAAGCTTGATGCAAACAACCATAATATGTTCCTGAGGGCTGGATACCTCAAACCAACCCAAGTTCTTATTCCTCCCCTCCCAACAATGGAGTTTTAAAAATGGTGTTTGTAATTATTTCAGATGTGTCCATTAGATGTCCGTGCTCTGATCTAATATCACTGTAAAGATGAGGTGTTATGAACAGCAGAAGTCAGTGGAAGACTGACAAAAACTCATATTGTTGATGTCTAGACTCACAAGAATGCTTAAATGTATTGTCAACTTCATATCTGCAAATTGTATTTTTAAGAGAGTAGTTACTGTGAGTTCTGCTATGAAGCACAACTGAACTTATTTAAACTATGCAACTTATTTGGATAATTGTATGTGCAGCAAAATAAGTTTAAAGTTTGCTTTTAAAGACATTACTGCAACTGAATTTGAAAGGGGCTATTTTCAGACATAATCATTAAATTAAAAAATAACATAAGGTTTAAAGTACTGTTAATAACATGTCAAGCCATACAAGAGTTATGCATCAGGTAACATTGCAAATGTTGAGTTGTAACATCTTTATCCTGTCAAAATGAGCATTAATTTTCATTTGATGGGATGTAGTCATTGTTCACAAAGTACACAGGCTAGGAAACTGTAATGCTTGAAATAAAAAACTTCGGTATTGATTTTTAGTAACATTAAGATGTAGGAATCATACACACACACCAGAGCGGATACGTGCATGTTTCTTTAATGTTATTTGAGTGGCCATTAGTAGCACCAAATCCATACTTTCCTGAAGAAAAAACCAGCCAGTTATAGCTTGATAGGAAGAGTTTGGCTGTCCTTCAGAATTTTGTGTATAATTCAACTTCAGTGGAAAAGTCCCGAGGGGTGCTAATGGCCTTGTCTCATGTCTGGGTGGCAGACTGGGACCTGATGGATCCCTTGCAGCCAGCGGTGGGGCACAGTTCAGGCTGGTGCTGTTTGCACCTGCTGCAGGAGTGAGTAAAGAAACCCTGCAAGAGGGCTGAGAGCAGCCTGCCCGTCATGGTGCTGGGTACAAGGCTCTCCCCCCTCTCCTGGCACTGCTGGGGCACTCTGACATCCAGGACAGCTGGGGAGGGGGTTCCAGCTCAGACCCTCTCGTTTGTGCCACACTTCTGCCTCTGCAGCTGCCCAGTGCTGGGCAGGCTGGTGGCACAGGTCTGGAGGTTCTGGTTTTGTGGTTTGTCCCACATGTGGCTGCCTTTCGTTTTCTCAACTTCGTTGAAAGCTTCTGTGAAGGGAAAGGATGAGTTTATCTCTCCTTTGGCCTTCCAGGAGAAGAACTAGAAGAATAGAAATTATCAGCAAGTGTGGACTCACAACATGTGCTGTGGCCTTTGCCTATTTCAAATTACTGTAGTGTTTTTTCTCCCTGAGAGGCGCTGAGACTTTCTAATCAGATGTGCTTGGCATTTCATTTCTTGTTCTGAAGGCTTTGTAGTGCCATGCTTATGATGTACTAGTGCTGTCTCAAAGGGCAGAGAATGATTTCAGGTGGACACTAGGAAGTCAAAGCTGTATTGTACCCTGTAGGGGAAGTCTTAGAAGTGTAGGAATTTAAAAGCAGTCTTTACAGATGACTCCGTGATAGGTTTGGATTTTGCCATGTAGAGAGCTTGTGTGAAAATAAATAGAGCAGAACTTCTACATGTTTTTGAACAGAGTTATTCCTGATTTTTCAATTTATAATATGTAAATTGATCAAACGTTATATGGAACCAAGTCCTTGAAATTAAAGGCAGTACTCTCCTTGGCATCCACTGAGTTGTCCTGGGAAGAGTAGATTTCCCTCTCCACCTTTGCTGACTGCCTTTTGTCATCTCTTGATTCTTCTTGAGCAGCACATGGGATTACCCACAGGGCTGCTTGCCCTGCTTGAAATGGTGGCTGCTTATTTCAGAATATCTTAGTCCATTTTTGTAGTTTGTAACAATTCTCACTCTTTCTGTGTGCAAACTCAGATTTTTCTACCCTGAACTACAACATAGAGGAATACTGTTTTGATAATTTCCTACTATTCTGTCCATATGAACAGGTTTTTGGGGTAAAGACTGAGAATGTTTTTGTCTCTTATGCAGCCACCAGGTACGTGTCCTCAGTCAGCACATGCCACCTGAGATGCTGACTTCTACACTTCCTATCCTGAGAAATAAATTTCCTTGGCTCAAAGGTGTTGGGTATAAATTTTTTTTTTTTTTTTGCTATAGGAGATCAGAATAGATGATATAAATGTTTTCTTTTGCTCCAGTCTCAAAAGCTTGTTGCACCAGGAATTTCCTGCCATGACAAAACTTGAGGCAGAGTAGTAGGACAAAGTGTAATTGCAGCCCATCACCCATCCATTTTAATCACTTCCCCATTTTAATGATCATGGGTGAGGTGAAGTGTGACAATCTTTTCAAATACCTCAGAAACAGAGCACTTAGGAAATTGTAAAAAACTAGAGATGAATCATCTATTCTGATCTTTTCTATTTCATGCCTTGTGTGTGCTTCTGTTCCATGCAAATAACAAGAGAGAGCAGATTAGGATTGTCAGGATCTAATGGCACTGATGCCAAAGACTGAAAGAAGTGACACATCTGCAGCTGCTGCTGCTTCTGAGCTTATTTCAAGGGAATTCAGAGCTTGTTGGGATGGAGACCACTGATTTTTTTTGGAAATCCTGACCTTTCAACTTCTAAAAAGATTCATATTTTGAAATGTCAGAGAAACTGGAATGTAGAAGGAAAGATGTTAACTGAGAAGTCTTTCAATAGCTTTTAAATTTTTCTTTGAAAATTATATGTAAAACAAAATTCTTTGCTTTTCAAACAAATTTGTTACTATTTTTGGATATAGATAATTTTGACAATTCGAGTAAATTAGTAAATTTTTACAAAATCACTTAATTAAATCATCATCCTCTGAAAGAAAGAAAACCCAAACTGTGACCAGTTTTTGTTTCGTCCTTGGAGGAGGGGGTTTTTTGTGAGTAAGCTGTAACTGTCTAAACTAGACCAATAAATGCACGTAGGGGAAACACATTAACTTCCTAGAGAAGTCAATTCCAACATTGTAATTGACTGAAATATGGACTGAGACCTGCTGAACAAACACTATTTTCTGAGGTTGTCGTTGCTGAAGGAAGCAGAACTGCCAGAGAAATTGAGTGCCTCCCTAGCAGTAGTCATGATTGACATGTGGTGCTAAACCGACTTCACAGTAACTAAAAAAGAACTTTGCCTATCATACAGTGAAGGGGCCCATGCTGTCTTCCTACTGTGAAATCCTCTCACCATAGAATATAAAATTCCATTAATTTCTGCCACCTTCCCTCTCTACCCCAAAATACGTAAGGTTTGGTAGCAGCGAGTACAAGAAAAGATAAAGCAGGTGTCCTGCTCACCCATAGGCTGCTGTTGGTAGCAAACCCAAGTCACCTATCTGCACTTAACCAGCCAGTGGTAATATGGAGCAACAATTAACTACAAGTCTACAAAGTGCCATCATGCCCTCACAGGGACAGACTAATTCCCTCTTACACCACTTATTCCTGATTTAGAGTGAGGAACAGGAGAGAAGTAGCCCAAATATATGGACTTTACTGAACAGGTAATTGTCCCTGCATAGCCTCCCATTCATCCTTGTTTCCTCAGAAAGGAGAAAACTTCAGAATGGTAAAAGTGTAGACATGGCCTTGGGTGCTCACGAGTGCAGCACCCTCCGGAGATGGTTCACAGATCTTTGTGGGTCTGGAATAATCTGGAGAGTGGGACTCTCTGTTTCTAGTTTTAGGCAAAAGCCCTGTGGTTTTGGTTCCCCTTCTTCTCCATGAGCATACTGGATATAATAGAGTATGATTTGGAACTGGTGACATTTTATATCCTTTCAGTATAGTGTGAGCAGCTGCAGGAAACATTGAATATTATGATGCAATTTATATTTATTTGGAAACTTTCAGTTCTTTGGCCAGCCTGTGTATCTTTAAAAGTTTCTCAGAACTTGCTGTTATGCAAAGTAGGGGCACAGATCTCCTACTAGGTATTAGAAATGTAAGTTTGAAAGGCCCTAAACTAGTTAAAAACACTTGAGTGTAGTCTTTTAAAAAATACGTTTGTTTGGTTTCCTTTAATATAGCTTATTAATTTGTAGTATTAACCATTAATTCATTACGGCTCTGATCCAGCAGAACACTTTCATGTGTATGTAAATTCATATATTTAAGTAATGCACTTAAAAATGAGGCATGTATGTAAGTATTGGGACTGAATTCCATCTGCGTTAAAAAAGGAATTCCTTTACCCAAAGAGTAATTTCCATGATTAGCTTTTCCCCCATGGATTTAGTGATAATTGTAACCAGAACAGCACAAAGAGTAGCACTTGAGTACTTTCCTGTGGCATTCACGTGTGGCTACTTATATATCTGGCAATGGAGGAAAGTTTTCATTCTCAAATAGATTTCAAGGTAAAAATATTTTGTGGGCATGCTCCAAGTTCTAGTTCTTCCAGCCATTCACTTATTTTATGAATATCTGGCTGAAAACCTGTGTGTTACATGGGGAGATAGATTAAATAAGGGCATCTTTCTAACCTTAGAGCCAATGAAATTTCTTAAGTGATGCTGTAAGTTTGAATTGTGCCCTTTCACAGAATTTGGACCTCGTGGTTGAGGTGGTAGATTTTCAATATCCCGCACAAGTTGAGCAGAGCACTGCCTGCTCAGTGTAACTCCTAAGAGCATGTCTGGGAGAGGGGTCAGCACCTTCTGTACTGTTCTTTTGGGGTTTTGCCCCAAAAGGCCTCATTAATTGCTGCCTTACTACACTTCCTCTGTGTGTAATACCACAGCTCTTCATGGCATTCTATTGACATAAAACTGAAGATTAAAATAAATAGATCCAAAGTGTCTTACTGCTATTTTGGAGTCAGATTCTCAGCCTCATCAGTCCAGTGTTGAGGCTGAAAAACTGGGCCATACCTTGAGTTGGAATTTACCAAGTTGGAGCTTTAGCAAGTGCTTGTTTAGCTTTTATACTCTATTCACTGGTTACTACTACTGTTTTCAGAGATCAAATACAAAAAACTTCCTATACAAATTTATGTGTCTTTTATAATGGAATAGGAGATGTCATGCTGCATTGCTTCAGTATCTGGGTTCTCCCACCTGAATCCATCCAGCTGTGGTTGCTTTCCAAAGGTTTAAAATACCTGGTACCAGAGATTTACTTGGACTCCAATCTGAATCACCGTTGCTTTGGACAGAGTGTTTGCCCCTTGTAGATTAAACCTGTATCAACACATTTCAGGTTCTTCACATATTGGACTTGATTTTATGGACACTTTTATGACTTTAAAGTGCATAGAAGATGGGCAGTCAACATTATGGTGGTAGACTTATTCTTTGGTAGAGAATTAGGGCTTTGTATTTTTCTTTTACCATCTTGTTTTACAAATAACAATTCAAAAAGGTTACATGTAAACATTGTCACAGAGTTACCCATATCCTGTAGCTATATCCATTGCACTGAACTACAGGTAGTGCCTGTGGATTTTAGCAGTTGCCCCTCCAGTCCTTAAGAGAAGCTTTTTTTTCCCAATTATTACAGCCTTTTAAACACAGAAGTAGCTCTGCAATTTCAAAGTAGCTCCAAAGTTTTCTTGACTTCAAGTGTTACAAAATAGATGCTTCTTTATCCAGGTTCCATTCTACTGTTCTAATGATTGCATTACCCATTGTGTGTACTATATTTTCTTAGTTTTTCAGTCTCAAACCAGTTGTCACAATGTTATTCTGTAAAAATGTTTTGTTCATTATATAGAATAGGTGAAAAGCTGTGGAATTCACGAAGGGCTACCAAAAGCATCCAAAACATTGTTCACCTTTAGAAGGGTAAGACAGCTTGATAGTCTTTGGACAAATGACTAAACAACACTGTGGTGCTAATAGGTACTGAAGTATTTTATGATGTATTCACTATGACTTAAATGACATTTTCAAGGCATGTCAGTGATGCAACTGCATGTGTTTTTGGTCTTAAAGTCTGGAACTGTTCCAGCAAAGACAGTGTTTTAATTCCTGGTGGGCCAATTCCTACCTAGCTTTTCTGTTAGAGAGTAATTTCAGGAGGCAGTGTAGGATTTGGCCCAGCACTAATAGCTAAGGTAAAAGCTATACAGGCCACAGAAATCTCACATAGAATGTATTCATCCTGCTGTAGCATATTACTTTATTTAGTTGCTTTGCTTAAGCAAAGGCTAAATATAAATTCTATAGAGGAGGAAAGAAAGAAACACTGGGCTAAATTCTGGCACTCCTTAACCAAGCAATGTTAATAGACATTTGAATTAAAATGAGGATTCAGATCTGAAATATGAATGTTCTTTCATGGAATACCAGAAAGGAGGAGTAGAGTAAGAAAAAATTCTATCTCTAGCAATGGGAAAAGGCCAAATCTGGTTGACTTTGAGGTGAGCTACGATTTAAAACAGAGGGGTTTTGGCTTAAAATCTTGAACACAAAATTTTTCCCTCCCATTTTGAATTCTGAACAGCAATTATTTTGTGTTATTGTGCCTGGACTATTCATGCAGAACAGGTATCTGTATCCTAAATAGCACTAAGAGCCCTAATAGCACTAATTACACTTGTGGCTGACAGGCCAGAAATTTTACCTCTGTAACAAACTCTGTAATTGAAATTGTGGAGGGAAGTGTCAAAATAAAACAAACAAACAAGAAGTACAAAATGATCCAGAGCTGAGTTTCAATAAAAAAAAGAAGAAAATAATTTTGTGTCAGTGAGATCCATGGTTAAGTGAAGGCTTTCCTCAAAAGAAGACCTGTTCTTTCCCCCGGTTGAGCTTGTGGGAGTTTTGCCCTTGGCTGCAGTGCATACCTCTACCAAATGACTTACGCAGAACAGCAACAGTCTGGGTAGTATCTTAAGAGCATGGAGTGGGCACACTGCCTGTAACTGGTTAGTTTTTAAAAAACTCATTATTAAGCAAATGTGTAGAGTATTAAGGAAATTTGTAAAGTATGTCTGAATGTATGAGTGTGTGGGTGCTGTGCTGTGGTAAAAAGAGAATAATTGGTTTATGCTGGGTTTTTTTGCATACTTTAAGCTTCTGTATGGTTTGGGTTTTTTTGTTTGTGTTTTTTTTTTTTAATATTTATTTCTCAGCAGAGCTTAGAATAATTTTGAAACTGTATAACCCATGACTTAACGAAATCTACTGTCAGCATCTGTTGTAAACATGTGTTTACAAAATGAACTCTTGAATACTTGATACTTGGAAATAAAAAATAGCATATCACGTGTGTTTTATTTCAAACAGAAGAAAGGAAGGCAAGAAAAAATGTACATGGGTAACTGTGTAATCCCTGTGGATGAGTTGATGAAGAAGATTGGTCTTTTAGTCCCTTGTCAGACAAAAATATCTTTCCACTGAATTCAATGACCACAAAATCACAACTAAGCATTGATTGTGCAGAATTAACTTGTAAAATTCCACCATTTTGTCTAGACATATATTTGATTGATATTAGTTATATGCTAAGAAATACAAGTTTGAAATAGATATTGACAGTTGGAAAAAATGCATAGAGTGCAAGACATGTGCATCTATGCTGCTCGATAAAAAGAGGGCCAGGACACGAACCCAAGGATTGGACTCCTGATGCCCACTCTGCTGAGTGCTGAGTTCATTCCTTGGATCTGATTTGGGTCACACCAACTAAGTGCCTCCACATGGTTTGTGGGTAAGGGCTCTACTGCAGAGAGCTCCCACTCGTGGGAGCTGAGCCAGGTTTGGTTTCGCCCCCACCTCTGCAGCCACCCAACACTGCAGGCCCTGTGCCAGGGACCCCCGTGTCCCCCTGCAGCACCACAGGGACAGCAGCACATCCCTGCGATACCACGCTGTAGGAACTCTAGGAGTTGCAACACAGGCCTTGTATTACCACAGACGTTTAAAAATGAGAACAAATGGAAATTGTATTTTGAGACCTCAGGAACATCAGCACAGAGCCAAGGGGAGGCCCAGGGCTAAGAGCTGCATGGTGTTGATGGGACCAGCCTGGCCTAGCAGTGTGGATGTGACCTTGCTTGTACAATTTGGCTTCAAAGCTAGGTTTTCTACTCTCTGGATTTAATTTAAAAATATAGGTGTATCCAGGGTTGGCAATTCTGTCCCAAGGCGTCCTGGTCTTTCAAGATCAAAAGAACAGCAAGCTGAAGTTAAATGTATTTTTCTAGACGTATTTCATTATTGAATCTTTATACTTACAGCTTTTTGACCTATAGTAGTTTTCATAGCAGGGTGAGCTGCGGCTTGTTTCTGTGAAACTTCTTTACTGGTCATTGTACTGTGAATGCTATGAGCCACCACACCCCAGCAATGACCAAACAATGAGCAAAAACTCTGCTGCCATGGGACAGCTGAATTTGCATTGATTCAGGATATGGCTTGTCTTTTTGAGGTACCTAAATCTGTATGCTCTCAGACCATAGTCACAAACTGTGGTGGTGTGCCCAGCACCTACCAGATTCAAGCCCTCAGCCAACCCTGCAGCTTCAGCTGTTGTGCTCAGCCAGGGAGAAGCTACTGTTTCATTGACAGCAGAGAAATGTATAGGGTCCAGATCCTCTCTGATGTTCAAGTTCAGAGTATGACTTGCACGTTTTCATTTCCAATAAATATAACCACACAAAAAAAGCATCTTGCAGATCCCCCTGAATGTCACCAGTGTCTCAGACCAGAACTGTTAAACCAAGGAAATGTGCTGTGGATGAAGTTAGTGGATTTGTAGCACATCATGGGTGCCGTTGCTATTTGAAAACCAAATAGATAACCCCCTTGGCAGCGGCTGAAAGCACAGCAAGGTGTGCAGGGCTCAAGGAGAGGCGCTCTTTGTGTGGCTCTGCACTGACATCTGCTGCCCGAGAGGGTGTAGAGTAACCCTGGGCAGCCCCTCGGTAGCTCAGGCTGTGACTGCTTCCCCTGGGGACAGAAACACATCTCCTTCCGAAATGACTCTTTGGCTTGTACCCCATTTACTGCATACCAGTTCTCACTGCAAAATGGTGTCAGAGCACATAAACAGGACTGTTTTTTGCCCAAAGTAAAGGATGCTTTGTGACAGCATCACGCCTACCAGACAACAGCCATCTACAGCTGCTCAGGCCTCAAGTCTAGGCCTGGGCAGATGCTCCCTGAACAGGGCTGTTGCAGTTCTTGCCTTCTCAGCCTTGACTGTTTTACACACAGATCCTCTCCCACTGTGCTTGCGTGACTTCCACTAAAGATCGCTGCAGGGATCTAAAGGGACTTTGGTGGGGAGAGTGGGGGTGGTCTTTGCTCAGACCTGAACTCTGAAAAAACCTTCACTGATTGTCACAAAAACCTTCACTGTCACAAAAAACCTAGAGGTGCCTGAACTCCAGAACAATGCTCTGATCCAAACGGTTTTGTTTGTTTGGTTGGTTTTGGGTTTTTTTTGTTTAGTTTTGTTTTTTTCCCAAAACTGTTAGTGTACCTTAATGCCTCAGGAACAACAGGATTTACCTGCCAACAACAGCTCCTATGTCCCTGCCCATGGTGTGAGGCTGGAATGAGATGATTTTTAAGGTCCCTTATGACCCAAACCATTCTGGAATTCTATGTCTGTGCTTCTGGAAATGAAGCACTACACATCTTTGCTTTCCTTCACGGTTCAGTTGCTAAGTCTCAGAAAGTGTCTCACGCTGTCCAAGGGTGTGAGGGCAATGCTGGCTGCCCTATTTGAAATTCTAGGAGAAACTTTTCACATAACACTGGTACCTCCCAAAGATGTGCAGACCTTATTCTTCCTCTCCAGCTCCAGGCACTCTTCAGAAAGTAATTAACAATGTACTTCTGTTCAGAATAGACACACCTGCCACTGCTTTGCAGATCAGAAAAAGCCAAGAAGGTCCTCCTCTCAACCCTCCCCTTGCCTTAAGTGCTTGCTGATGAAGTCAGATTAAGGTACTTGTTTTGTTCCTGAGCTTGCAACTGCCTAATGCCCATAAAAGTTTCCTGACAGTCACACCACGTGCTGCTCATGGACTCAACTGCTTCAGCTATGGACAAAAAGTGCTGTACAGAAAGAAATGTGAAAGATATTCAGACAGCAACACACTGCTTAGGATGCATACTTAATATATGACAGATTTTGCCCTCTTTAACTTGGCCTTGTTTTATATTTGATGCATGTTTCCAAGAGAGCAAGGATCAGAATTCATTGCTCCCTGTACCTCTTGGCTACAGAATGTGTTTGTTTTATACCTTCTTTCCTCCACACTCCTGTAAGAGAGCTGTAAAAAACGCTCCCATCTAGTTTAGAAGATAGGGCACTGTCTAAGCTTCTGATAGTTTAGAAGACTGAGCACTGTCCTAGAAGTTTCCTTTTCCTGAGTGAGTACTTCAAGCTCTCAGGTAGGAATGAAGGACAAGTGAATGGGTGACCACACTATTATTGCACTATTCCCTTCTTTATCTCTACCCAAGCATTAAAAGAGAAGACAGCATCTCGCTTGGTTCTTTCAAAGAAGAGCTCTTCCAAAGAATGTAGGGCACATTGCTGGTGCTGGATAATTCCCTGCAAAAGAGAGGACAGGTAGTTGTATGGGACCTTGCTTCAATTTGCCTTTGTCCTTCAAGTCCTCCCAAACTCGCTGGCTCAGCCTGCTCTGCACCCTGTTTTGAAATACATCCTGTACTTCCCAGCGTGCTTTCCTGGGCAGACATCTCTCAGAGGGTCTATCTGGCAGTGCAGTGACAGCTTTTTGAACACTTAGGTTCACCCCCTTTCCTGATTCCCACAAGCTTCACCTGTCACTTCACGTTGGCAGGAGCATCAGTGTCCAAGGACTGTGTAAAAGAAAGAAGAGTACAAGAAGCACAGATTCAGAGGCTGAGTTAAGGTATGAAGCTAATCTTAATTCACAGCCTGTAAAACAAACAGAGTGCAAGTAAGAGAGAGTTTACCTTGAAACCTAAATTCTTTTTTGTGATGACTCTTGTACAACAAGACACTCCTCCTGGCTAGAGATCTGTGGTCCACTCTCGCTAAGCCCTGGGTGTGTCCTGCCTGCTGTGCTTTGCTGTCACAGGGAGAACTCTGCAAGGAGGAGAGAGAGCAGCAAAGCAGGACGTGGCTTTATGTAACCTTGCCTTACTTCTGGGAACTGCTGGTTGTGCAGCTTCCAGGAAGAAAGGATCAGATGGTTTGGCATTAAAAAAAGGTAAAATCACAGCATGTCTTCAACAAAGAACTATATATTATTCACATCTCTAGGAATAATTTATAGCTAACAGAATGTTGTGTGTTATTTTGTTACCTGTTGCTCTAAATGTGGATGAATTCTTAAAGCTTGAACTGTTAACATATTTTTAAAATAAAACTTAATTAGGAGGAAAATTGGATCATCTGGACTTCTATGAAGCAGGTAAAGTAAAACACTTTTTATTTCAAGAAATATTGCTTCTAGACTTTCCCGAAGCCAGAATTGTACTATAAAAGTATCACAGAAATATTATACAAGATTTAAAAACACAGTTTATATCCTAGTAACTTAAAACCTATGTACAAATAGCATCATTCATGACCATAAATATGTTTTTCTATCAATCAGCCCATGACACATACATCAGATAAAGAACTAGTAATTTTAACATATTTACAGAGTCCATCAAAAAGACTGCTTCTTAAAATTATTAATCCTACTAAAAGAATCTCCTTTTTAAAAAAGTTTCAACTTAAAATACAATGTAATGAATGTAAGTTTAACCTGCAGTGCTTGCAATAGCCAAAAAATAATCACTACACTAAATAACATGTAAGAGATAGGAAACACCCGTGAGTTGGACACAATGGAATTACATCTGCTTGAGGTAATTCTCTTTTGTTGTTGTTGTGCTAATTATTTGGAAATGTATAAAAAAGCAAAGGAAAATATTAAGTTTTGAGTAATACAAATGTTCAAAGTAATTTTGGTGTTATACTTCATAAAATTTAATGTTTGGTAAAGTTCAAGAAAAAATTTAGAATACAACAAAAATTATCTAAACTACTATTTTTTAACCTCATGTGCCCTTTGTATCTAAAATAATGGAAATCTAACATGATTTTATCATTCCCTTTAATGCCTGTTCAAAACAAAGAAAGAATTTAAGAATCAAAATGATAATGCTTTCAAGATAAAATCAGGTGGGATGACAGAAGCATTTATCTATTGATGTAAACCTTTTTACCAGTATCAGAAAAAAAAATCAATGGAATTTTAATACTGACAGTATCAACATATAGGGAAACAATCCAATTTAAACAAATCCTTCTACAGTTAACAATTGTTAGCCATACCTTTCTGAGAGTAAATTTAATTAAAGCAACAAAAACATGCAGTATTTGTGCTAAAATAATATTCAAAGAGTCTGTTTCCACAATCCATGCTGTTTACCTCTTTCCTGTCAATCTATTTATTGGTTTCACAATTTCATGAAACAATGAGCAAACTAAGAACCTGTAAGGTATTGGATTCATAAATGGTATGGCATACAGATTTTAAAAGTGCATTTTACTTGAAAGTGTGACATTAAGAATTGCCAGTGGTTAAAATAATTGATGAGAAAGACATTGTGCAGGCATATTGGGTGAAATGAAACACTCATTCATGTTGGGATCATTTGGGAATAGAGAAAGTAACTTGACATCCTCTTCAAAGAAATAATTTTTAGCTTTCGTAGAATGTGCTACTGCATTTCAAAGTTAACACTGTTTCTTCTAATGAAAAACTGGAAATCTTGCTTCCCAGTGGGGAAAGCATGTGCATGTAAATAAGAAAAAAAGGACACAAATACTGAACTGGGCTCAATTTAGCTGCAAAATGTATCTACAATAAACATGGAATGTCAGTTGTCATGATTACTTTTATTAGTCTGCTACTAAGAAAAAGGAGAACTTATTTAACAGTTTACAACTGGATCTAATCCAAGGAGAGTGGAGCTGAGGCACTGCCTTCTACATTTAAGATTTGTGAACTTTCTCCTGCAAGATTCTGTTCTGGTTTTTTTAAGAAAGTTCCTGCTTTCTGGGTACTGATAGGTGAATCCCTAATGGATATGTTTACAGCCTGATGAACAAGAGGTTCATCAGACCTCATGGGAAGATACATTTGATCCTCAAATATATCTTCCATAGTGTCACTATCCTGATGAGCATCTTTTTGAGGAATGCTGATGGGCTGTAGCATAAAGGTATGGCGGGACTCCAACTCTATCAAACCATTTCCACTGAAATCCATATCAAAACGGTCCGATTCTTTATCCTCCATCCATTTTTCAGCTTGATGACTATTTTTCCAGTGTGCGTCATTCAAACTACTTTTCTCAGGAATATCATTGTTTAATTCAAGTTTCCTCTCCTGACTTAAAGTCACTGTGCTCAAAGCAAGGGCTGCAAAGTCCGTTGGCACAATCAGCTGCAACTCTTCTGCACTCAGGCCGCTCGACTCTTCAGCAGAAGTCATTTCCACCGAGGTGAAAGGCGTGGATGATTCGTGCCCATCCCTATTGCTTCGAGCAGTGTTATCCTTGTCTGTTTGATTTTGCTGGTAGTAACTGTTCAGCAGTGCAAACATTCTATCTACATCCTTCAAGTAATTAGTCCAGTCAGCCAGACTAAGTCTAAAGTTGTATCTGTATTCATATACACTTTCATTCACACTGTACAAGTCTTCCAGTCCTTGCCAGTCAATGTCACCAGTGAAACTGGGCAGGTTAGCCTTCCCATCCATCCCATAACTGTCCTCTGTTGAAAGAAAGAATAAAACCTAGTGGTGAACACTATTAAAAGGACAAGTAAAGCTTCCACGTGTGCTTCTACTCCAATTTGCTTGAAAGCACCATTGCTCATATAGTAGGTAGCTCAAAATGTAAGACATTCCACCTCTTCTGTCACCACATGAATGGTTCTGGCCTTGGATATGTTCACAGCTCCTGCTAAACACACAGCAATACTGCCCCTGTCTTCTGCTACATCCTTGGGCTGAGTAAAAAAGAACAAAATCTGGTCTAATGGGGCTTTGTGATGGCATTCAGAGGTAAGTCTTTCCTCTGATTTTTCAGGGCAGGAAAGGTGTTTCAATACACAAATTCACCTTTCCTGAACACTCCAGCAAAATATGCAGTGACCAGACAATGGTTAAGTATAAAAGATGGGACTAACTCTGAAAGCCACTGGTGACCTGAACTTCAATGCTCACGTGAATTTTGTTTCTGGGTAGCTTAAGAAATAAGATCTACAAACTAACCAGACACATTTTATTTAATAAAGGATAGCCAAAGGTGGTTTTGATCTATTTTGTAAACATTGATTTTAATTCAAATGGAGCAATTAGGGGAAATAAAAAGCTGTAAAAAATGTGTGTGAATTAATTTATGGGACTGCACCACTTTGTAAAATAATCTTAAAATATACACAGATAGAGAATCAAGAATTCTTAAGGTTTTGTTTTTTAAAAAAAAACTTTCAAATATCCAACAACCTTATCAAATAAAAAGTCTGAATAAAGGTCATAGATATGAGTCTAAAAGTAGCAATGGAACTGTATTTTTTATTGATCACAGCCAGAAAATGCAAAGACATGAAGGAAACCCATTTCCAAACTATTTTAAAAAGTCACTACTGTAACTATAGTTACTCAGGTTATCAACTGTGGTGTGAAACCTATTTTATATTGACAAATAACACTGAACAGCACTGTTTTATTTAATTCACTGTGCAGACTGGGTTCAGTCCAAAGATTTTAACAACTAAGTGGTCTACAACGAAAAAGTAATCAAGCAATGGAGATGTCTGTCAGGGAAAGTGACAAATTTGTCCTTACAAATGATATTGCAGGCAAACTTTAGTAATTAGTTTACTGGTATGATTTATTCTCCTTCTGAAAATTGTACAGGCAGGTAGGCTAGTAGCAATTACTTTAGAAGTTCAAGTGGCTATAGTCCAACAGTGTGAACTGAGCTCAAATATTCATCTGTACTGAGCCTTTCATCCCTACAGTTGGTTCTTGGCATCTCTATTAATTTGTTTGCATTTTAAATTGCCCTTTCTCATTATTCAAGTAAAACAGAAGATGCAACTTCTGTCTATCATAGATTATATTCTTTGCTTCTTACTAGCTCGGGATTTCATAGTGCAAAGAATGTCTCCAATATTTAGTCCATCATATGGAAAGTCAGAAAAATACCACTATGGTCAGAAAAAAACTTTGAGATTTTCTTATGATGTGGGGCCTTATTCTGCTCCCACCAGAAGGACATAATTTTCCGTACTTGAAAACACTTGAATATTTGCTCGTTATTTTTTCACTTCATGCAATTGTAAATATTTGGCAACATAAAATTTAAATATTTTCTTTTTTTCAAATCAAGGTCTAAAATTTATTTATTTATTTATTTATTTCAAACATTTGGCAAACTTCCTGTTTCAGGAAGAAACACGAGCTTTTTGGATTTGGTAGAACAGCTATGAGAGAGCGTCTTCCTTCTTTCTTTTCCTGAATGAGACAAGAGAAATGAAATGATGGCATGGCCACTTGAGAACCACCTTGGCAAGTCAAATATAGGTAATTTGTTTCCTGAAACAAAAGATAGTTCCATACCACAGAGATTTCAAGAAAGAGGACTTACTCTTCCAGTGCTGAGAGGCAAAAAGGGCCCTAGAAAACATCACAGGCAGGGATGCTTTTTCAGGGTTTTTCAGGGATGCTTTTTTTTTGGTAATTTAGTCACCAAACCCTCTAACATATTAACCACATGATGATATTTAAATTTTTCTCTGTTATTATTTCTATTGATAGTTTTGTATTTTTTTTTTTCATTTCTTTCATGCATCACAGCCTGTATAGGAAAACAAACTGCTGTAGGGACAATAAGTGGCCAAAGCAATTTGCTATGTTATGGCAGAAACTCAAACAGGAGGGGTGTTTGACCAGTAACTGGTTTGGGGATGGACCTGGGCAGCGCTGGGGCAAAGAAGGAGCCAGAAAGGTTTTTTTGGGCCCAGAAGAGCCTCTGCTGCCCGTCCCCGGCAGTGGGACAGAGGGTTGAGCTGAGCAAGCTGGAGTGGCAGGCTGGGCAGTGGGAAAGTCATGGGATCAGTAAAGAGGAACAGGGTTTTTCAGGAGCCTCAGCAGCAGGGCAATGGGACTGTGCCATGGAGGAGTAGGATCAGAAGGAGTTTTTTGTATTCCTACAAAACAGCTGAAAGTCTGAGCTACATGGTCCTTCACACTGGATCTAACTTTTACCCTCTAAATGTGGCACTGTTTCTGCAGTCCCAGAGATGTTTCACAGCTGGAAAGGCATTGGGAATTTTTCCTTGATCTTCATGTCAAGCAGGAGAAAATAGCTTGTTTAAATGCACAGGACAGAGGTAACTTGTATTCATACATGTTAAACAAATGGAAAAGTGAAGTCTTAAGGTCCCAGAGCTGACTATGTTGGTTGACTGAGCAAGTTACCTCACATCTTAATCCCACAACTTGCAGTAAGCCTGAAATTTTCCCACTGAAATCAAAGCATACAGAGGGAAGAAGAGAGGAAAGAAAGGGTTTTCCCCTGTAAGAAATTTCATTACAAGTAGATATGAAACAGGAAAGTGCAGATGACTTGCATTTGAGGAACAGCATGGCAGTAGTTTCCTTGATCAATATTTTGGAATTTATCAGCTATGACACAGATCCAGAAGAGAGAAAAATTGCTGCTAACTGTTCACAGCAAAACTTATTCAGCTTTTTTGTTTGTTTGGTTTTAAATAAAGCATTAGTTAAGCTTTGCTCTCCATTTATCATACCCTGGAGTCTGATGATGCCATCTGTGGATGTATTGTCTCAAAACTCAGAAGAGACTTGATTATGTCTCCTCTGAGACTAAAGACAGTTCAGTACAATCATATCCTGGGTGGCTTTGAAAAACTTCAGACAAGTGGGAGAGGAGAGAGGAACATGCAGTTCACACATCCTGTTGTCAGCTATGCCTGCAGAGCCACATGCTGTCCATCACAGCACAGAGGTGACACTAGTTCTTCCCTGCTGAAGCTCTCTCCCTGTGTTAAGCAAACAGCACTATATTGGCTATTTCCATACCGACCTATTGCCCCAGTGTTTAATTGCAACACAAGTAGTGCAATTCATGGCATTTTGAACTGGAAACAGGTCTGAGTGAAGTACATGATTTGAAGGAAGCCTAAAGAGCAGCTCAGATGATTTAGCAGCACAGGGCTCTTCCTTTCTTGTTCCATTTGTTTCTCTGCAGGCATCAAGAAAAGGATCCCCTAAGAGATGGTTTTAATGATGCCTGATAAATTCGTTTTAATAATTTAATTTTGTTTTGTTTTAGAAAAGAAAAACATATTCCACCAAGGTGGGACTTGAGCCAAAATGTTGAACCCAGGCACCTCCATATATTGAGAAACTGGGTGTCTGGAGCAATAATGCTTGTGTTATACTGTACCTGCTATTTATCCCAGTAGTAAAATGTTTATTTTATGTTCTGTTGGTATTAGAAGTTAAAATGTTTTTGTTACTAAACAGTGTAGCAAGATATAATTTAAAGATTAATCCGATGTGCTCTACTATTTCATGCAATCCTACAGTTCAAAAATGCCGTTTCTGTTGGATCTGTAGTTAAAATGAGGAATGCTCACAAGGACACCTTCTAATTAAAGACTTAAAAGCATAATTATAGGGATTACTTTCTATCATTGCAGTAACCAGTTCCCAGCGGGCTGTAACGAGCAATGCAAACATCGGGATATCAACCAAACGAAAGCTTATCATTTTCCTAGATCCCAAAACTACTCAAGTGAGAAAACAAAAAGTTGGCTGTGAGAAAAATTAGCTGCTTAAATTGGAGATCTATAAAACATTGAAATACATTAGTTTAATTGTTCCCTGGCTGCTGGAAACATTAATGACAAAGTTCTTTTCAGAAGACCCTGTAAAAAAAGTTTTGTGTAGACTCATATGCCCCTTGGACTCAGTTTACCTCTCAGTAAGCAGTGTATATCAGGAGTTACTCCTCCAGAGTGCACAGAGATGAACATGCACAAAAATGATAAACTGTGAAAAGGAGTCAAGTCTAAATATGACACTCGACAGATGTTAATCTGTTTTTCACCCTGAGGACAAGTACTGCTCAATGAACAGCAAGTGCAGTACTGTTAAGACCTGCGGTTTTTCAGTCTCTTCAGGTTTTTGCTTTATGTTTGACTTGTTTCTCTAGCAGCAGACACAGGCCTCTGCATGATAAACAAGTATATAAATATACAATAAGTATACTTGGAAGCAGAAAATTATACTTGCAAACAGCCTACTTGCATGTAGGTTCAAGTGTTAGGTATAAAAAACCTCACCTGGTGCCCTTCCTCAGTTCAAATAATATAACCCTTTTAAGAAATTTCATTTCATGCTTGTCTGATCTGGTCCCAGCCCAAAGGAGCCTCATCTTTCTGCCATACTTATACTGAACAGTCTCCTGCTGGCTTCTGAGCACATGCTGCTCATATTTGAGCACTGCTTTTCCTTAAAGCAGCATCTGCCAGCATTTCCTAAAGCCAGTGAGAAGATTTTACTTTACTTTCATAGGTTTGATTAGGTTCTTTGTACTGCAGAAAGCTTTTTAAGCACATTTGGTTTACATTTAAAAAGCAGCTGTTACAGACTTCCTAAAGAAAACCAGAAAAAAACCTCCAACCCATCCAAAATCCACCCAATAACATGAAAGCAACCCAAAAGAGGTGGTTCTTTTTGTGTCATTTTCCTTGAGTAAACATCTAAGAAATACAGGCATGAAATGTGAGCTGTATGAAGTCTTGCTATGACAATGAGCTACGTTAAATGCAGAACGGTAGATCTAAAAAACAATGGCCAAGTTCAGTGTAGAGTAGTTAGAAAATGCATGCATCAAAAGCTATGCTGTGTGCAACACGGCAGGATACAGACATTAGTTGGAATGGACTGGAGTCATGCAATTATTTGGAAAGAAGCTGCTGAGTAGAATAAAAAAGTGTGGATACCTGTGTGGATCATAGCTTCCTCCATCTTTATTTCCTGATATAGGAAAATACAAGAGTAACTTTTGTTAGTGTTTAGAACTTGTAAAACCATTCACAATGTAGTTTTCCATGCACAGCATCTAATTCCTAAAAAGAAATGTACTGTGTTAAATAAAGACAGAGCTGCAGTCCAACAGAGATTTCCTGGAAGTTTTATATAAAAGAACTGAAAAACCACAGTTTTTCAAACATAATAAAACCCCCATACAATCAGATATTGTAAAAAAGAGAAATATTTGTAGATGAAGAGAGAGATAAAAAGATGCAACACCACAAACTATGTAGAAGGGAATATTCCTGTAAAAAAAATGAATCACAGTGTTCAATCGACCAGAGTTAAGTGTAATGAATTCCAGAGATATGAAGCAAAAATACTGGTTATTTTTGTATTCGGAGACACTTGTAAAGAAATATTGTTTTCTTAAAAATCTGGAGGAGACTACTGCTGATTAGAAGTTCACAATGTTAAGTCTCAGTTGTGGTGTAGGGCCTGAAGTTGTTCTCATAGGCAGATAGGAATCTGAGTAAACACAAGTTTTAATACCTCACCCGGTACTGGGAGGCAAAAACTAACCAAATAAATCCTGCAACAGAGAAAAGAATTATGATTATGAAGATTTGAGTGTGCTTGTTATGGATTAGTTGCAAAACCATGATATCTTTTTTGTAGCATTTCTCTCAAATGCTGTTGTTTGCCATCAGTATCTGTTGAGAATAACCTGTGCAAACTCGCAAAGAAGCTTCCTGGTCATGTGGTTGTGTAGGTGTATATGGACCATTCCAAACTGTCCAGAACAACACTTAGGGGAGTGACACTTCATGCATGTAATTAGTACTTAAGTAGATGAAAAAAAGAGAATAAAACGGAAATAAAGACTACTATTTATCTTGTACCTGTTTCAAGTCCCTTCGGCCTTGGATTGCACTGCTTATAACCTTGACAGCTGCGCAGTTCCATCAGCTGTATGTGTAACTGATTTAAAATGCCTCTTTCCACTGTGTGCACTGTGTTGGTCAGCTGAGAAGGAGAGGAATGGAGGGAAACAATACTCGTTAACAGAAACAGAAAAAACCCTAGAAGAGTCTGGTGAACAGCATTTTGTAACAGGGAATGGGGTTTACCTGATAGGGATCAGTGTTCATATCAAAATATTCCAAGAAGCCAGTTGCAAACTCACAAAAGAGAAAATTGTGGGTGTCATTAACTGTTCGCAAACACCAGTAAGTGTTGTTATTCGAGCTTGTGCAAGCACAGAAGGAGCCCACTGTAGTTAAAGAAACAAGTTATTAGTTTTCTGTGAAAAGTATGCCTGTTTCTCCTACCAGTATCTTTAATTCCAAAAATAAAACATTGCCTTATATTTAGATTTATATTTATTTAGATTAGAATACTGCGATTAACTGTAAAAGTATCAAAGTTTTTTGAACAAACTTCATAGAAATAGTAATAGTATTATAATACATTAGCTCTTCTTTAAACTACAGACTGTGTCAAAGGGACATTTTTTTACCCCATGACTGTTGCTGGAGCACTGCTAGAATGCACAGCAATATGAGAACTCCTTTCATAACTATTTGTAACTCCACAGTTAAAAAGTAATGAGCCAATTTAATTGTTGTCTTTAAACCAAAAATCATGCATATGACTACTTTAGGTACATTTAAAATGTAAAATACATATTAGCAGAAGTCACAGTGCAATCAGAACAGATTGTCACTAACAGACAATTTCTTTCTCCAAGTGAAAAGTTGTTCTTAGCAAATATTCTGCTGGGACTCAAATATGTTGCAACTTAATCATCACCTTATCTTGAAGAAGTTTTTGAAAGTAAAATTTTCAACCACTTTTCTTTCTCCGTCACCAGAGATGAGAAATGTAATTTTTTTGTTAATGCAGGACACTGAGAGATGTTGAATTATGCCTTAATAGGATAGTTTTCTTTATACCTTGGAATTTAAAGAGACTGAAAATATCTTTTACCTTTAGTTTTTGTTCATATACACCACATGAGTGCTATACCGTTGCAGTTTTAAAATTATTTTAGCATATAAAAAATGGGAATAATGAGAAGAATTCATAAGGGATAGTATGTGCATTTGCTTCATGATAAGTTGTTTACTATACACTTTGAAATAAAAATGTTAAAGTTTAAGTAGACCTGTGCTTAAGTTTGTGACAGCACTAGAAGTCAAAATAATGCTCTGATTGCACTAAGTGGAAAAACTGTAATAAGAGCAGAGGATAACCTGGATCACATTTGCACGTGGACATAAGACTTACAGTTCCAGAACGGAGCTGTTTGCCAGTGGTTGTTGTCATGCGTAAAACACGTCAGTCCAGGAAGGCTGCACTCGTCTCCTTTCTTCTGGCGCCTTTTCCCCTTCCTTTCCTTCTTCCTTCTCCGGTTCTCTTTGAACAGCTGCAGTTTGCCATCCACTTCCTGTGCTGCTTCTCTGTTTAGAGAGAAAGTTGGGAACAGCTGACTAAGAACAGTCTTTGCTTGGTTAGCAACAGCACTAACAGCTTTTATATATCTCTGGGTTTTTTGAAGGTGTGAAGATGAAAATATGACTTTCTCCTATCTCAGCTTCCACCCCTGCTATTGTGACAAGGTGTTCTCTTCAGCAAGCATGAGAAATGATGCACTGCTGCATTTACGTTCTACTAGATCTTTTTAAAAAGATGATTGATCGGTTTCTAATTATTTTCATCCATTTTCTATAAATAGGCTTAAAAAATATTATCCATAAGTTTTCACAAACTGGTCCAAAACTACTGAATGTTTCTTGTGAGAGCTTGCTGCATGTGACCTTTACTTTTCCCTACCCTCCCTTCCTCTCTAGATAAAAAAACTCCAACGAAACTCAGAACCAAAAAACCACCAAGTCCCAAAACCTACATTTCTCCAGTCACCAAAAAGCCAACTATGAGAATGAGAGGCTAATAACAATCTTACTTGAAAGGATGAAGATGGCTCTTGAGTTTCTCTTGGGCCTTCACCCCTTTCTCTTTATTGTAATAGCTACAGGAAAAATAATTAGAAATTATTAAGTCATGAAACTATTTTCACCACAAAACCAAAACAGAAAAATACTATCTTGGACATTTTCTTAAGAAACTATACAGAATGACCTACAATTTTCACTTCATTTAAGAAAGTTAAGTCTGTGTGAATGATCCTATGTGAGGTTGTAACAAAACTAAATCTGGATTCAAACATGATAGTGGAATACAAACATGACAGTGGAATACAAACATATTTCATCTTAAATTGTTAAAATTTATCTTCTTGTGATTTGCAGTAGCTTCTACTCATAAAATGTATCTAGACTAAAATAGGTACCTACAATGGTTATAAATATCAATAAAGCTTAGGTTTTTTATTTTCCATCTCAAAAACCCTTGAAAATGTGTAACCTTAGCAATCAGTGTAGTTTTCAGTATTTAATGCCATCTCTCTTACCTCTGTTTACTACAGTCACATTCATCTGGTTTTCTTCTCTTTAGATGTCCTCTAACTTCCCTCAAATTCTTAATTTTGTCTTGGAGAGCTTCAATCTGCAGAGAACAGTTCCGAGTTTCAGTTATTTCGACATTTCAATCATTCTTTGAAAAGGTAGCAGTGCAAAGAACTTCATTCAGGTTTTAAAATACCTCTTACCTCCTTATCAATGTAAGCCTTGTGGTCCTTCCAGGCTCTGGCAGATTGGTACAGCTCCCTCTCACAGTGGATAGTGTCATTTGGAAGAATAAAACATCTGTAGATGTCAGTTTAAGAAACAGAAAAAGAAGGTCAGTGGTTTCCCAGGTGCCTACTCATTTTTGATCTTTCTTCTGACATGCCTCATAAATTAATTTTAATATTCTGTTAATAAATAAATAAACTCTACCAGGCCATCTTATGGTGACTTAATAATAATAATAGTGTTCATTTGTTTTCTTTGGAAAAAAATATCCTCATCCATGACAGATGCTCTCTACCTGCTAAGCAAAAAAATGCATTAACATTCTTAATCAATTGGAAATTAAATCTGTTCAGAGTTTAAGTCTCTTGTTAATCAAATGTGCCATTGTTTATTTAACCACCAGCTTAATCAGAACCCTTCTTTTAATTTTTGAGAAGAATAGCAGAAAAAAGATGTAGATGCTTATCTCTTCCCATGTTATCCTGTTCTGTTTTTTGCCTCAATCAAAGAATTCTTAAAGCAATGCTGTATTCTGTAAAGGTCAAAACACTTTATTGAGAAATAATAACTTTTCTGAAAAAATATTTAAAGTTCTATTAATTCCTTGATTGGAAATTATCAATGTAAAAAAAGGGATGACTTTTACTTATTCAGAACCAACTTTTATGTTTTCCTTAAAAAAAAATAAAGAAAGAAGAAAAAAAGAAATAAATGCTTATGTTTTAAATACAGTAAAAGGGATTAAACAGAGATTTTTGTTGTCTGCATCTTCCTGGCTTTTCAGATCACTCACATTAGCTTTTTTAAGCTAAAAAAATAATTTGAGATGTTTGCCTTTTCATTCAGATTTAGTGTAGGGCTAAAAATTGAAATCTAAACATCATTTAGGATAGGAAAGTGATTGCAGATTTCTTCAGGATCATAGAATCCTAGAATGGTTTGGGTTGGAAGGGACCTTAAAGATCATCTAGATCCAAATTGCCTGCCATGGGCACCCACTAGACAAGGTTGCTCAGGGCCACATTCAACCTGGCTTTTAACACTTCCAGGGATAGGGCATCCACAGCTTCTCTGGGCAACCTGTTCCAGTGCTCTACTACTCTCTGAGTAAATAATTTCTTCCTAACATCTAGTCTAAATCGATCCTCTTTTAGGACTGATTTTTTCCTCCTTGTCCTATAATTTTCTGTCCATGTAAAATATCACTCTCTCACTTTTTTGTAAGACCCTTTTAGGTACTGGAAGGCTGCTATAAGGTGTCCCCAGAACCTTCTCTTCTCCATGCTGAACAGCCACAGCTCTCTCAGCCCGAATAAACAGGTCTAATGTATCTTAGGTAATGCTAATGGCTGCAAACAACTAAGCATTAAGAGACATGATGTAAGTGATCTAATCTATCCTCATGTAGAGTGGGATTTCAGTCATCTCAAATTTGGGCCTCTGTGTTAAGCTGGAAGCCTAGACTATAATGAACAGCAGTCGCATCAGCTTAATGGGGCGATTAATCCATCATAAAATGTATGTTTTGATATGGAGGATGAATCTGCCTCTGGAGATGCCTACTCCTCCTCAGAAATAAAACCTAAACTAGAGGCCTCCTTTTAAAAGACATATACTAAATACAAAAGATTCCACTTCCTAAAAAATACAACTCAGGTTTATCTAAAATCCATGATGACAGTTTTAAGTTCCTAAATATTTGATGGAGAGAGTGAGAACACTATTAGAAAATGACGATTTCATTTGTAGAAGAAAAAAAAAAACAAGCACAGAAAAAGCAATCATACTTGTGTGTCACTCTAACAGAGCTGGGTTGACCTATGGCGTCAGTGCCATCAGCGAACATCGCATCACCAACAGCACCAGCAATTTCCTCTGTTCCTTCCTCATTGCCAGCATTGTGACGCTTGGTGATACTCCTGGTCTTTAACACCTGTAATTCTTCTTCTTCCAGATTTATGTCATATATTTCACCTTCAAATTCCACAGACAAGGACCGGGTTTGGCGCGTGTGAACAAATCGGGGTTTGTATTCTGAAGCAGAAGAAAGAAATATTTCCAGTTGAATGTACATATCTACATGACCCATGCCCTGAACACAAAACATATCCCAAAGAGCAAGAATGATGTTCAGCAAACCCAGCTTATTTTTCCTCTGACTATACAGAAACTTATTTAACGATTTTTGGCACATTGTGACCCTCACTTTCATGAGTAGCACGTAATTTCTATTGCTTCAAGGTTTGCTTTTCACGTTAGTCTGACCTTCTGCCACAGTTAGCATCTATATCTGCAAATAAAATCAGTATCTCAGAAATCAGGTATCTAGAAAGAGATACTAAAAAAAATCAGAGACCACCACAGGATTAGAAACCACCTTAGAAAATTAAACCATTCACCACTGTGAGACAAGTGCAAATTGGCACGTGATATGTTTGACTTACACTTTAAAATAAAATGACTTTTTAAATGGTTAACACCTTTTCCTTTTTAAAGGTAAGAATTGAAATGGTATGAGTCCATCAGATTTCAGTCTATGTGTATCTGTATGTATCTATATGTACATATGTACCTATACTTTGACACACACGTCATCCGTATTTATGTGTGCAAGTCATAGATCACCAAAAAGTTGCTGCATTGCAGAGCTACAGTGAGATTTATGATGTCGCTTTCCCCCCTTGAAAGCTCTGAGCTTAGCAGGGTTACAGCTCTTTTAGTTACTGTGTATGTGAGTAAGACTAACGAGACAATTAACTCTTTGAGGGATTTTTAATGTTATGTACAAGAAAACCTGTGTTTGGGCTCAGACTGAAAGACCTTAACTTCTTTTGCTAAATGCACTTGACTCAAACTAAGCTGATAAACCCCACAGTCAATACCATACCAAAGCATGTTCTGTCTAGCAACACCACACACAGAGAGCTCTAGAACTACAAAATTCATCTTGTAAAAAAATCAGGGTATTTCCATTTGTTACATCTATGCTGAGCACACCTATGTCACCTAACAATTCTTCATGCAGCAGAAAATAGCAGCTGTAAGAAAGTACTGCCTTTGTCAGGCAATGTCAGTTCTACTTGAAGTTTTTATGTCAGTGTCTTTAAGAACCTCACACTGAACCTCTCCTGCAAGACTCTTTTAGAAGTGCAGACAGTGAGCCTGATTCAACTTTTTCTTCAAACCACCCTGTCCTGAGGGTTGCCTGCTGTCAGGTGAAAAAAGACTTCTTAGTCAAGGCAGTGAAGACATTAATCTTCCTGAACAGAAAATCTAGTTTTAAAGCATCTTTCTGATCTATAGCCATATTACTCTTTAATAAAATTATGCAGAAACATTCACAGGGTCAGATGGGATGATTTCTTCCATTTAACAGCCTCTGATGATACTACTTAATAAGCAAGTGACTGAAAGGATGGAATATATAAGCATCTCATCCACATGTAGCCTGGGGACTGAGGCCTGAACTCCTCATTCCCTTAACAATGTCTCTTCATCATGAGTCTTTCTCTCCAGTACTCAGAAGAGTGATAAGGCTGATTTGGAGGAGGCAGAGGAGGGAAGAAGCATTAGAATGTTGTAAAGGAGGAAAGCATAACAAAGAAACATTTTCTGATGCCTCCTGCAGATGTTTTCCTGCCTTTCCCTGTTTTCTCTCCCCAGGTAACTTCCCTTGGTTGCGATTCCCATTCAGTCATTGCTCGTGACTCGGCAACACCTCTTTCCAAGCTATGCAGCAGTTATCTCCCTTTGAAAATGTCACTTGAGGAAACATTCCCCAATTTGAGAATCACACTGGTAGCCTGTGGCATGTAGAGTTTCCAGCAGAGGTCTGCTTGCACACATTGTGAGGTTCCTTAGATCATATTAAACAAATGGAAGAAATTGTATCAGGGCAGCACTTATTCTGAACAATGAGACAGCTTAAGACAGACAATATTGTTATTGATTGTAAAAAGAATGTTAGGGATTCTTGTTCACATCTAGAGTGGAGCTCTAGATAAGGAAATATTTTTAATTATACTGAAATTATTTTCTTATTTCATAGACATCTGTGCAGCATCTTCTAACTTCTCTGTTTCTCATAGGACTTCACTATCTTCTTGCTTTAAAGACCCATCTTTACTTTATTCACCAGTCTAGTATTCTAATTAGAGTGCAAGAGAATACAGCCTGCTCTTGAACCAAGTCTGAAATCCGGGTCTGCTTCTACTGCTATAGCTACAGAACTTCCCTTTCATTGCTTGGCAGAGAGAAGAAAATACTTGCTCTATTTAAAATTGTGGCTTCTTTAAACAGCCTTCTTTTGTAGAAATCATTACCAGAAACAAACGCGTCCTAAACCCCTCTTGTACATTCCCTTCAGCCCATGCTCCACTAGAGGACACTGCAATCTCACTCGTGTCCCTGCGGGGATCCCGCTATGGACGTGCAGGGAAGTGAGAGCCGAGCAGCGTTGCAGTCCGCGACCAGCCCCAGCACCACAATGTAAAGGTGTCTTGCGGGTTGTCACTGAACAGCGAGTGAATTCAGCGCTGATGATGAAAGAAAACACTTGCACTGGCCACCTTGGCGAGGAACGGCACCGATCCGCCCGCGGATGCCACCGGGTTGTTATGTCTGAGCAGCGCGAGAGGTGGCACCAGAGCATCGCCGCCGCCACCAAATGCAGCCTAAAGGCTGTTCCTCACTGTGATCCAAAGGGCAAATATTGTTATTATTGTCACAATTGGAATCACAGAATGGTTTGCCTTGGAAGGGACCTAAAAGACCATCTAGTTCCAACCCCCCAGCAAGGGCAGGAACACCTGACACTAGACAGGTTGCTCAAAACCCTTCCAACCCAGCCTTGAACACTTCCAGAAAGGGGGTATCCAGGACTTCTCTGGATAACCTGTTCCAGTGCCTCATCACCCTCGCAGTATTGAATTTCTTCCGAATAGCTAATCCAAACCTACTCCTTTCCAGTTAAAAGCCATTGCCCCTTGTCCTGTCACTACATAACCTTATAAGAAGTCTCTCCCAGCTTTAGGTCCCTTTAGGGAGTAGTCTTACCTCTTGCCATGGTTTAAGCCCATTATCTTTAAGCTTAGTATCTCTTTAGGTACTTATTACAGTGGCAATTATGTAGAACCTGACTACAAACTACAGATGTCTTCATTAGACATGGAGGTGAAAGCAAGAGCACACTGGTAGGACAGCGCCTCTGCTAGCCATTTCCCCTGCTCTTTGCCTCAGAGCCCAAGAGATAAATAACACTTACTTTGCGCGTTAGGGTTTCTCAAGAACTGTCTTTGATTTTTTCTCTGGGCCCTGCTGTTTCGATAATCAGCATCTCCACAGTTGCAGTCTTTGTCTTTACCACTGTATCCCCGGGAGTGAATGCTGCGGGTTCTCTTCCTGATGGCAAGTATGTCGCTAGGCACCTTACACTTGTGAATTCGAAGTTTGCCAGAAGCATCCTCTGTGCACTGCCATTTCTGTGAGAGGGAGAAATGGAGATGATTTCCCAGCAGCCTTCCAAATCCCTGCTGCTTTCAGGTGGATTGTAAAACAACACAGGTAAATTTCTTTAAAAATTTAAGCAGTCCTTTACATAACACATTGAGAAGGGAAAGATTTTAAGGCAGAAATTCACTCGCACTCTTCCCAACACCTTTCTCGTGCTAGGCAAACGTAAGCTTGAAAGAAATCACTGCAAATCTGCATTAAAAAAATACAAACCAGACAAAAAAAAAAAAAAAGATATATAAATCAAGAGTATCTAGACTAAACACATACCTGAAAAGAGCAAGTAAAAATCTTAATTTTCTGAGCCAAGGTGTACAACTGTCAGGGCTGTTTTCACCACCTCTTCTTTTTGTTTGACAAAACCAAACTTTTTTTCTTTGTTCTGTGACTCAGAATTTCTAACATGACTCAGGGAAAAATAAAAAAAAACCCACAGATGAAGAAGAACTGGTTCAGTTGAGAATACTTTGGAAAGAAAAGGACAAATTGCAAATGTAATCTATAGAAAAATACACAAACCACTCCCTACAGCCAGCAGGTGCAAGCTTGGGGAAGAACCTCAGGGACAGTAAACAAGAAATTATCTTGGATAAACTCCTTTCAATATATAAGTCTAGAGATTTGTGCCAGACTTGGGAGGAAAAGGTGCAGTCTAGAAGGAGTACCTGTAAAAAGCATTGTATGTGTGCTGAATATCAGAGCAAGTGTGGGAGAATGAGAGGAAACAGAGGTTTTTTTCCAGTTTGTCTGCACAATATCTGTCTGACTTAATTATCAACATCACTGAACCAGATGGAAGATTCCAGGTGGATTTTTCCAGTGGATCCACTTACCTTCACATATCAAATTAAAAAGCAACAGGGACTTTAATTTCCTTTCCACATGACACTGTCTTAAAAAAGGTAAATGTAAATGAAAAAAAATATATGGATAGGTGCTGAGAGATTAGGGCTCCTTTGCCCATGCCCAAAGCTTGACATATAGGGTACTCGAAATACACTACACAAACTAAGAAGCCAGTGAAGATTTTGAGTCAGTAGTAGTCTGAATAACAATAGGGAGAACTAGAAATAGCAGTGTTTATTTATAATTTTGATACAACCATAAATGACTATGACCCAGTGAGTTTAGTTCACTTTTTGCATCCTAAGCCACAACGACCAGAGTTTGCATACAAAGCAATTAAGTTTGGCTGGATATTGTAAAGAACAAAACTCAATAACACTATTGATATCTGGAACCTTTTAGCTGCAATTTCAGTGAAGTTTCCTATAATGTGCCCTTTTTTTGTTTCCCAGCACTGAATATCATAAATAGCTTTCTCTTGCCTCATTAATAATAACAAGACAGTTAGATGCTGCTGGTCCTAATGGAGTCCCCAACTTAATTTTTGAAATGGGCACTGATATCAGAGCATACACATTTCGGTAAGTTCCATTAACTAATGGCTGCTCTGGACTGTTTTGGGGATGCTGTCATGCTGACTGAAGAATGAAGAAAGAAAACTAAGCCTTCAGGAAGATTTACTGACCTGATAACCTGAGGGATGAGCTGACGTGGGTCTGCACCACAGCACGATGAGAGCACTCCCTGGCCTAACATGTGGGCTGAGTTAAAAGATAGATTCCACGCAGAGATCTTGCCTGTGGATTGGCATGACTGATCTCAGAACAGTAAGCCATGTGTAAAAGGACATCAACTTGACCAAGTCTATGGCTGCCTGAGAAATTACACTCATGCCCAGACTTGAAGTGTAAACATACACCTACAAGTGACAACGTGACTTTGTACAAGTAAAAGTGTCCAGGAGCCGTAAAGTTTTGCAGAGTTTATTCTGCAATAGCATGTGCACTCTTCCTACCACAGCAAGAGATGATTGTTACAGGATAAGAGCTGACTGCACCACTGTATTTCCTGTGTTTATTGGGTACATGTTACAGTTATAAACATATGGCAGTCTTTAATGAGTCTCAAAAGCACCATTTTAAAGTAGAATAAGTATTCTCTTTGTCTAGCATTAATTACAGCAAGAGGTTCTAGGAGTGGCTTCAATAACCATTTAGATCATTTTTAACAATATTATGACTAAGAGTGAAACAAGACTCTCTGTGTCTAGTACAAACCAATAATGGTTCTCTATTCAAAACAGAAATTAAATGTGATTCATTTCCTCTTTTTTTTTTTTAAATTTTTTTAATTTTACTTTAAAAAGTGTCATTATAAAGATGCTGTAGAGTTCTAAGATGGAATTTTCAGTCTAACTTTCCTGAATCCCTGCCCATGCCAGCGTAATCAGGCACTGAGCATGCATTATGCAGTAAGTTGTAATGGTCCTTCTGCTCATCTTTAGATCTATAAAATGCATTAATGGACCTAAAAGAAGATTGTGACTGAATGCACTGCCCTTTCCCTTCCCCTGTTTCCTACCTTCCTTCCCGCTATGAATACCAAACTATTCTTTGAAGTCCAGGAACATTAGGTTTGGTTTCTGGATCACCATTTCTCCATCAACTAAAAAAAAAACAACACTGGCTTATACACAAACTAAATATGTCTTCATTAAATTTTTATTTGTATATGATTTATTTTCCCCATGTTTATCTTTTTTCTTACAGTGATATTTCACAAGACACCTAAGCCAATCTAACAATTCATTGTTGCCATAGGAATGTGGGATAGTCCTTACTTGGGCTGCATGCTGATTTAAGAAACCCTGCACTGATTTACTCTCAGTTCAGCAGGAGAAAAGAAGACTAACTCAGAATTAAAAAACCTAAACTAATCATGTTGTGAAACCCAACCTGTGTCAGCCTTTTCCCCTGTCATTGACTCATCTTTTCCTTCTCTCATCTCATTTCATCACCTACCCTCCAACAACTATTTCCCTCTCACCTCAGCTCCCCACCTTCAGTTTACATTCTGCCTCAATTTAGCTTCAGAGGGGAAGCACAGGTGAAAGAAGACCTTCAATGCTTCCACACTAGTGTCCTGAGTCCTGAAACCCCACACCTGAAAGCTAGTGGGACTTAACCCCCACTGAGAGGGGCTTTGCCAGTTTACAGCCATCCTGAACCAAGCAGGGTCTGTTCTGCCTATGCACTTGGAGCCTTGGCTGGATCTGTGTGTGCTGGCTGCCAGCTCTCCCCAAAGTGCTCCCTGCAAATTGCAGAGGCAACTTAGGAGAGGTAAAGGTGTAAAAGGAGTGGGCAGCTAAGGACTTTGGGTTTGTCCAGTTCAAAACAAGGCATGGCTCTTGTTGCAACATAGAGCTACATAAGCAAGACAACACCACTTGACTTTGTAACTACCTGAGGTGTCAATTTCCTGGTATTAATCAGTTATGCCACAGCCTTCAAACTAAGTAAGCCTAATTCACTACTAATTATAATTAAGGCATAAAACTATACATTCAGCATAAGACACTGTGATGCACTGCACTGTAAAGAGCTACTTAGACAGGACTTTAAGTCAACTTTGTGTAGTTAATAGACTGTGATAGCTTTGAGACAATTGCTGCCCCCTTATATAGAGGGGAAATGAATTAGACAATTCATGGAAGGTGTCTCAACAGTAGGCAAGCTAAGGGTTTCTATGAAATGTAAACACCTAGTATTTGCAGTAGACTCGTCAGTGTTAAATACCTTGTCAGATTTTATCACAAAGCTATGAAACCCTGAAAAACATGCAACAGGAAATATAACACAGCAGCAATATTTTTACAGGTGCTTTTTCATTTCTGTAATGTATGACTGACTTTGAGTATTATTGCTCAGCCTAGGGAATGTTAAGATAAGGCCTGAAAAATGAAGACTTCATGAATTTAAACATGTCCTCAAGATCTCATTTCCCTGTTTTCCTGTTTCGAAAGGAATGCTCTAAATTTGAAAACAGTTCAGATGAAAATACCACCACGGGCTGTGTATGTGTACCATTTTCTTCCATTAGCAGTAACCAGATCTGGGGGAGTGCCAGGGGGCTTGATGTGATAATGCTGGTAAGGGAGTCTGGTTCAGGGCTGTGCTACTGCAATCAGAACTGTCTTGCTTTTGCTTTCTCTGTGCCATCCAAAGTGGTCATGTCACACAGCATACTGAAAGGTGCCCTGTAATTAGCTGGCTCTGGTAAACAGTACAGAGTAGCTAGCAATTTATTTCTGCTGAAGCGGACCTGAATACTAAGAAATGTTTACGGGCTGAGGTCGTGTCCTCTATGCATTCCCACAGAGCAATCATGAGCCCTGGTCCTGACCAAGGCTCCTGAATACCCCTGGAAATATCAGTCTGTGTTGTTACATCTCAGCAGTACTTGAACATTGCACATGAGTGCAGCTGTTTAGCAGGGATAGTTTGCCAGGTTCGCTAAAGGGAAATTGAAACTGCTGCATTTTTATGGGAAAAAAAATCTCCTCCTTCATTTTAGAACTGAGTTGATGCTGCCTGTAAGGGCAGATCCCAATTTTTGTACCTCTCTCTCATAACTGAAACACCTTCTATTGAATCATGCTCCAGAGTCTGCTGTCATGAATATAGTCAAAGATGGTTATTTATATACAACCTCACCCTCTGAGAAGTGTTCCTGAAAAATGCAGTGGTCAGTGGTTCAACAGACAAGGAAGTAGTTTGTCCTATAAGAACTGATGTAATATAGGCAGAAATGTATGACAGACTTTAGAAATACATTCAGTTAAACGCACAGGGACATAATTGGAGGAAAAAAAGAATGAAGGAATTAATCACTGTAAAGAAAAGGAGGAAAGAGAAAATTGCCGGGAAGTTTGCAGACTACACAATTTTGCATTCTTGACGTATGGACAAGATTGATTTTAAGTGTCACAGTCATAGCAGTTCTCTAGTTATGAAAAATGCATGAACTGCTTTGTCAGCTCTAGAAGTGTAGGTACCTAGGTTGAGAGAGGAAATATTTCACCTCCATAGCATTCCCTACCAAATCTATTAACTTGTCTGTCGTT